TAGTAGGCCTGTGGAGAGCTCCAGATAATATAGAAATCAATAGCCAGCATCAACCTGTCAGGCACATTAGTTTGAGTCATCTTCAGCCCAAGTTCAGCCTTCAGATGATTAATGTCCCAACTAACATCCAAAATGTAATCTTATGAGAAATCCCAAGCCAGAGCCATCCAGGTAAACCACCTGTGCATTCCTAACACAGAGAAAATATATGAGATGATGAATGTTCCTATAAAAAGACTGGTGGCATTTCAGACTTTTGTTTAAAGATCTGATTCTGGATTTTTATCCTATATTTCCACTGCTCCTATCTTCCTCCCCTTAGGGTAGAGACAGAACCTTCTTTCTCAAGTATACACTAAAAAATTAGGTTAAAAAATTAGATAAATTATCAAAAAGATACATTTTAAACCACCTTCTACCCTTACTAATAATGGTAACATTTGCTTTAAGGCCTCCAGAAATTCTCCTTAAAGGCAAAGAGAGTTGTCTAAAATGTGACATAAAATGCCTGACATTCATTCATTCATTTATGACAGCACCTCCTGACACGGGGTGTCTTAGTTCCACCACCAGGAACTGAACCTGTGCCCCTGCAGTGGAATCTTAACCACTGGATTGCCAGGGAAGTCCCTCTGACTTTAGTGGTCTGCTTCTTAAAAGGCAAAGTCACACATTATAAAGCGACTGTGGTTTTCAGTTGGTTAAGATCAAGGGAAAATTAATCATAACCTCATTAGCTTGGCTACCTCACTGCCAACTCAAACACAGAATTATAGCCTACAAGATAAGGAGCTGAAATTCAAACTTGACCATCTGTAACCTCTATACATCAGTTTCCTTGTCTATAAAATTAAATGGATCATTATTAAGCTACCCCACAGCACCCAACCAGTCATCCCCTAGTTTCTTCAGCAGTCCTGTCCCTAAAACCACAGAACTGTCTTCCAGTTCTTGATAAGATTTGGTGAAAAGGATCAGTTTTCAATTCCAGATACGTCAGTATCAATCCGACTGACTTCCCTGGTGAATCAGAAAAGGTACACAAAGGCTAGTGCAGGGTTGCTCAACCTTGGCACTGCTGATGTTTGAGGCCAGATAATTCTTTATGGTGGGGCCACCTTGTGCACTATAGCATGTTTTAGCAGCACTCCTGGCCTCTACCCACTAGATGCATAGGTAGCAACTCCCACCCCAAGAAGTGACAACCAAATACCACGCTTCAAACTTTGCCAATGTCCCCTGGAGGGCAAACTTGCCCGTGGTTGAGAACCACTGGGCTAAGGGATGGTTGCTTAAAAAAACTGGAGTTCTTGCCAAGCTCCTGACCTGGAGGAGGGAGGGCTAACACTATCTTCTCGTCTAAGGCCAACATACAGCCTATGGAGCAGCCCCAGAGGCTCAGATTCCACTCTCAGTCCTAAACATTCCAAGTAGAATGCAGCTTACCCAGCAACCACACAAGCTCAAGCCTGTAAAAACCCCCATTAACAAGGGAAGCTCTTGGCTGAGAAGTCTCATCAGTTATTCCGAAAGCAATCCCAGCCCAGCCTTTGAATTCATTCAGGGATGATTTGTAATCACCCAGGCATATCCTATGGCTCCCTCTCTAATCTCATCATCCCCTACCTCCCCTTAGCTCAAGACCCACTGATCACCTCGGGCTGATCACTTAACAGGCCAGGCAGCTCCTGTCACTAGGTCTTTATATCGACGGTCCCCTTGACCCGATATCCCTAACTCCCACTTTCCATTTAGGTTTCTACTCAAATGCTCAATGCTCTCCAGAGGTCCCCAACCACCCCACGTAATAGAACAAGGTCCTCGGGGTACTGACTACTCCACAACACATACTACATTCGTTTCCCGATTATGGTCTGCCCTCCTCTATAAACACTTGAGGAATTCCCGTCAGTATATCAGTGTCTATTCAACCCCCGACGCCACGATGAATTTGACAGTTGTGGAATGAGTTAACACGGAAGCCAGCCATTCTTCACAAGGCTCAGTCCCTAAGGACGCGAGGTTCCCCACTCGGCCCAAACGCTTCGCTTATTTATTCACTCACACACACACACACACACCCCGCGGCGGGGGACTGACGCCTCTCCCACCCTGGGGCAGATAAAGGCGAAGGGGGTGGGGCGGCCAACCGCGGTATTTGCAGGGAAACTGCGCGGGGGACAATTGCGACTGCAGCCGAGTCCGCAGATGGACCTGAAGGGCCGAGGCCTGAGAAAGGGCGACCTGAGGCGACGAGGGCCCAGGGGGCCGGGCCAGGAACGGAGGCGAGAACTCAGGTGCCGAGACCAAGGCCCACCGACACAGGCGACAGAAACCAAAACTTCGGTCGGTTGGGGGCCGGGACTCAAGGTGGCCAGCACAGAGAACTGAGACGCCAAGGCGTGAGGGGCACGATACTGAAGCGACGGGCCCCCGGCGCCATTTTGTGACCGCAGAGAGGGCAGTGTCCAAGCCCCGGGGGAGAAACGGACGAGCCCGGCGCGGCTCCGGCACATCCCTATCCCTCTGCACCCGGAGCCCGACCCCCCTCCTCACCAACCCTGCCGGGCCCACCTGTGTAGCTCATGGCAGCAGCGAAAACTGCACCCGAAGAGCCTGGCAGCTACTCCACGCGTGGGACGCCGCCGCGTTAGCGTAGACAATCCCCCGAGCCCCTTCTATCCACAACTAAGCCCCGCCTCTCGACAGCATTGGCTCGCGCCGGACCCAGGCTTCACGCCTGTTGGATAGCCTAGCTGTCCATCTCGGAGCCTCCTTAGGCCCGTGGCTGAGGGTTCTGCCAATTTCACGAGAGCCCCGCCCTAATCCCGCCTCCCGTTATTTTGAAACCATGCTGATTGGCTTAGAGGAGACGGCCTGGAGGTGGACTCCCGCAGAGTTCGAAGGGGCGGAGCTGTTCACTACGGAAAGACCTGAGGCCCAAGCGCGGCCCGGCGGGAAAGGCCTGTGCCCTGGAGGCCCGCCAGAGGGAGCTGGGTCTACAGGGCAGGTCTCTCCTCCAGTCCCGGCTTTGCCGCGGGGGTGTTGTGCCGATCTACACTCTCCTAACTTCCCTGGCCTTCAGCTCCAAAGCGAACAAAGTAAAGCCATGTTGAAATGAAAATTACAGCTAAGTGGCAAACAAGATACTGGGCACAGTTTCAAATATGTAAAATAACATATGTGAAGAATTCAGTCCGGTGCCGGGTGACCTAAAGAAATGTTACATTTTGTTATCCACCGTTACATAAAGATAACAGATATACAGCATGTTTATATCATTATATGTAATAAATATATTCGTATTATTTCAAATGCTCCATTGTATCTGTGAGGAAGTTGGTTTTTCTTTTTAAAAACTCCCATTTAAAAAGATAAGAAAACTATGCATGAGACAAGTGCTCTGGCCTGGTGCACTGGGAAGACCCAGAGGGATCAGGTGGAGAGGGAGGTGAGAGGGGGGATCGGGATGGGGAATACATGTAAATCCATGGCTGATTCATGTCAATGTATGACAAAAACCACTACAATATCGTAAAGTAAATAGCCTCCAACTAATAAAAATAAATTTTTAAAAAAGCAAAAAAAGAAAAAGAAAACTGAAGCTTGACAGGGTCCTTGACACTTGAGTGTTAAAGCTGGAACTACCTGCTCTAAACCCTTCTCAGTTTGTTCTGGACTTCAGAGATCCTACAGTAAGAAGCCCAGCCAGGCTTCAGCAATGTATCCTCAGCAGCCTCTTTGGATGTGTCCACTGTCAAGAGTCATCTCATAGCTGCTGAGAGACAACTTGAGGGAGCTGCAGACACTGAAAATTGTGCTTAATGTGTTTGTGACAATTCATCAAGCTGGGCGACTTGTACTTTTTTGTTTGTTTTAAAGTATGCCACTACTGACTTTTGGATATTAATCTCTCATTTCAATGGCACTTTTTAAAGTCCGTATCCTTCAGAGAAATATGCTGAAACATTAACAGATTAATTGGTCTGATGACCATTAATTCGGATGGAGGAGAGCACATGGAGGGGCTGTAGCTGAAGACTGGTCATGAGTTTACAGCTGATGAGTAGGTGACAGTTCATTTTACTATTCCACTTTTCTGTGCTTAGAATTCTCCATGACAAAACTTGGCTGCCACGTGGGCCAAAGTTCACAATGCATTGAAAAGCTCCATATGTGAAGTACATGAAGTTCTGCCCAGTGTGCACTCCAGTGTGGGGCTCATTTCAATGTCACCCTCAGAGATGCCTGCCTGCCCTCCAAACTAAGGACACCTCTCCTGGATCCCATAGCTTCCTTCATGGCATGTACCACAGCCATATTTTACCCTCATATGTCAACTCCATTAGTATCTAATGCTCTGCCTCTAAGACAAGTAGTAGAACTGTTTACGAGAACATGACCACAAGTTTTAGGGAAAGATCCCTCTGTGGCAAGAACAGCATTCAACCCTTTCAAGGACTGGCCCTTATCATGGCATCACTGTGGGTGGCACAGGACCTCCTACTTTCTAAGTTCTTGTATAGTTTGATCTTTTTCTTTACATCCATTCAGCTTACATCACTTTTTAAAACTATTCATTAAAAAAAAAAAAAAAAACCTATAAAAAGCTAAACGAGGCCTCTGGGTCAGATCTCATTCCAAGAGAGTTTCTACCAACTTTCAAAGTCTCACACAGGCCCAACCACAGCATTGGTTAGACATGAGTAGTAGAGACCCTCCTCCGGCAGGCAAGATCTGTGTCCTGATGTCATAGGAGCAGAAAAGCCAAGTGTGCAGGCCAAGACCACCCTTGGGGGGTGGGGTGTACGTATTGTCACAGCTTGTGAGTCCCCCCTTCCCAGTCAGGGGCATGGTTGGGGGCCCAGGATAATGGGATTAGAGTAGGAGAGGCCTCTGCCCCAGGAGGTCATTCCGACTTTCCAGCCCCTGGCTGTGTTAAGTGAAAATAATAAACTAAAAAATCACATGCAATAAACAAGAAGGAGCAGCCAACAAAATCTCTTAAAATCTCAGAAACGTTCAATAAACATTCGCAGAATGAGAAAATAAATAACAACAAAAAGGAGCCAGCAGCTCTTTTTCCCCCTTGTGTTAGTTGGGTTCAGGGTGCGTGTGTATCTCCCACACAGGTCACATGTCTTGAAGGCAGGGCGGTCCCAGCAGCTGTGCGCTTCACCTTCCCCCCACCCCCACCCAAGTGAAGTTCCCCACACCCTCAATGGACAGCTCCTGCCCTCGGAGAGCCCTTCAGGCCTCAGTCACAGCTCAATCCTGGCTCCCTTCCCAGACCAGCTGCCCAGAGCTCTGGTTCCTCTCCTTGGCTCACAGGAGCTGCCGCACCAGCTGGCCAGAGTCCCACCCGCCACCCCCTCCCCCAACCACCAGCCATGCCATGAAGGGCCAACAGCTGGGAACTTGGGCTCATCCCCAGATAGGTCTGGTGGGCTTGGCGGCCAACAGGAAAACCCAGGGCTTCCAGGGGCTTTTGGCGGAGGTGGCTTGATCCCAGCCCTGGCTGCCAGACAGACAATGCCAGCCTGTCCACTCGACAGAAAAACACAACGCTGGCTGCCTGCCCCGGGGTGTTTCCAGAAGAGAAATTTAATCTAATTTACATACTTCTAGGTACATCGATAACCAAAATGTGGCCACTGAAAAAAGTTAAAAGGGCAATCGGCTCCCAGTTTCTAGCTGGCCCAGGATTGCAAAATAAAAAGATCCACGTTCCTTATTCTCTACACAAAACGCGTTTTTAAAAAAGTGAAAGGTCTAGGGAGCTATACATAGAAAGCAACAGTGAAAAGAGGGAGGGGGGTGAGGGTGGGGAAGGAGAGTCCCACCCCCACCCCCTCCCAGGCCCCAGAGCCCCCGAGACTCTGGAGGGGGGGGGCCTTGACACGGCAGGAGGCAGCTGTCAGCTCTGAGCTCTTCCTGGCTGGGAAGGCCCCTCTTGCAAGGGATGAGGGGGAGGCGGCCAACAAGGATTTCCGTGGCATTGTGGGCTCAGGTGGGGGGCTCCCAGGCCCCGGCAGAGGGCCACAGAGGGAGCGTGCCTTCTCCTGAGCAAGCACCGTGGCGTGACGTGGTAGTCGTTCGACTCGGGAACTGGAGGGCTGGGGCCGATTCCCGGGTCTCACGAGGTCCGTGAGTGCGTGCGTGCGTGTGTGAGAGGATATTCACAGGGGCAGGGGCAAGAGGGAACCAGGACAGGGGTCCTTGGGGTCTTTGCAAGTGGCCACAGATGGCAAAAATAGCCCGCCTGGCTGCTGGACGTGGGAGAACGCTGGTCTTCCTCCCTTGTGAACAGACTGGCTCCCGCCAGACACCTGGCCGCTGCCGCTGCTGAACCAAATGGGCGGGTGGGTGTGGGCTGGAGGAAGATGCCCTGTGTGTGGCCCCAGAGTCCTCGGGCTAGGGGAAGGGTGGCTAGCTGGCTTCCGGTGCCCCGGCTGTAGTGTGCCCGGCCCGTGAAAGGTGCCGGTTTGAGGTTTTGGCTTGCTCCTTTGGAAACAGAAAAGAAAGAGGGCGGAGAGAGAGGAGAAAAAGGAGAGAAAGGCGGCGTGAGAGGGGGTCTGGAATGCTTGTGTCAGGGTGCCTCTGCCGCCGCTGTCTGTGCCTGTGGGGCCTGAGGCTCCTCCGGCGGGGGGTCCGCTTTGGAGAAATTCATCTCTAGGATGTGCCGCTGTAAGTGCCGCACCCACTCCTCCTGGATGGAGAGGGGCCCCTGGAATTCCACCTCACAGAACCTGGGGGGGAGCGCGGGGAACAGAGAGAGGAAGAAGTGGCCATTGCAGTAAGGAGAGGCAGAACCACAGCCCTGGCCGCACCCTGAGCATCAGGCACCCCTGCTGCTACTCCTTGTGAACAACGCAAGCCCAGGATGTGAGGGAAGGGGGACCCAGAAGTTAGGTGTTCTACGCACAGCTACCTCTATCCATCACGGGGTCATGGCAGGGTCCCCTGGAGAGACCGCTCTATGCTCAGGGCACTCTGCTAGCTCAGGTGCTGGGTATGCGTCATCGAGCTTCCCAAACACCTCTGCCAGGTGACTGAAGCATGTGCTCTGAGACGGAATGGGACACCAGGGAAGCAAATGCAACCCTGCCAGGCCCCAGGAGAAAAGGATGGGAGCCAGGGAAAGGGGGCTTGGGCACTAACTCCCACCCGCCCAACTCACGCTCCCAATTCACCCGCCCCTCAGCCTCTCAGCCTCAAATCCAGAACCCAAGTTCATGGTTCTGAGTCCTGGGTTTGAATCCTACTTCTGACTTGGCCTGTGTGGCCTGAGGCAGGCATGTTGCATTCCGAAACGCTCAGTTTCCTGGATACTGATGCGTGGACTTTGCCAACAATGAACTAAGACCTATCTTTTTTCCCTTAATCCAGCAAACATTTGCCAACTGCTTACCATGTGGCAGGTACAGTTTGAGTGTTTTGTAACTACACAACTTTTAATCCTAACAAGTCTATTTGGTGGGTCTGTTATCAATCCCGTTTCATAGTTGGGAATATTGAGGTATGGAGCAGGAAATTTGCTCAAGGTCACTAAACTGTGCGTCAGAGCCTGCAACTGAACCCAGGTCTTGCTGGCTATAAAGCTCAAGGTCTGGGCCTGAGGCTACGGGGTACCGCTGGCTGTGAAGATCCCTTACCCTGAGTCCAGCCACACCCCAGTCTGGCCCAGAGGCTCTGGGGGCCCAGCCCTCCCCCAGGGGAGGGCTGCATACCTGCACTTGAGAGTGTAGATATTGCCCACAAACTTGACGAGTGACGTCTGGGGGGGCCGGGGCACCAGGGCGGGGACTGGCCGGACCCGGGGCGGAGGTTGCCGCACCTCCTCCAGCTTCTGGTGCAGGTCACTGGCCTCCTCACTGCCCCGGGCCACAGAGGCATCTGGAGGACGGGCTTGTCGGCGCTCAAATTCTGAGGTGGGGAAAAGCGGAGGAAGAGACCGGAGATGAGCCCTAGGGCAAGGCCCCGGAAGAGGTTCCTGCCTTTAGCGAGTGAGGGGCAGATGCTCTAGGAATTTTAAGTCAGGATGGCTGGGGACTGGCCACCTCCTGGACCTTGGGACAGGCGGGATGAAGGGTGGGTGGCTGAACAGGAGGGTGGTTGGGAACGTGATCTGAGGGGAAATGCACAGCAGAGGGCCCGGGGGCAGCCCGTGACCCTCCTCCACCAGCACTCACTGTTGATGTTCTGCCGCTGGTGCTCCTCCGCCTTCACAGCGCCTGGTGGGCTGGCCGCCAGAGGCCGCTCACCACTGTCGGCGGCCCGGCCAGCCTCGGGCCCCGGTTCACCCCCAGCACTGCGGCCCACCGCAGCCAGGCCCCCAGGAGCCAGCCCCAGGGGCGGCCGCTTGTCACCGTCGCGGCCATGGCCGGCGCTGCGAAACTTCTTGGTGAAGGGCCGGCCGCTCTGGATGTAGCTGCGGTAGGCACCCGCCTTCTGGGGCCGGTGCTTGATCCACTCGCTCAGCGTCTCGATGGGGGAGCCATTCACGCACCACTCGGTCACGCCGAACTGTCGCAGGTGTGCCCGGGCATGGCTGGCCAGAGCCTTGCGGTTTTCGAAGTAAAGGCCACACAGCTCGCAGCAGGCCTCAGTGGCTGCAGGCAGAGGGGGTGCTGCTGAGCCCCAGCCCCGAGGGAGCAGGGGGACCCAGAAGGCACTGCCCAGGTCGAGAGTCAGTCCCGCCTCCCACGGGCACCTTGACCCCCACGGGGGCCGAGCGGCGCGGCACTGCCCAGCCCGACAGGCCCTGGCAGACGCCCTCCCTGGACCCTGCCGCCCACCGCTTACAGGAGTGGGAGGTCTTCTCGTGGAGGGCCTTTGCCTTGAATGGCAGTTCAGTCTGGATGTAGGTCTTGGCCTTGACCTCTGCGGGGAGGAGGCGGTCCTCCTGCAGGGGCCGCTTGCCTGCCACGGAACCCAGGTAGCCAGGGGCCGAATGCTTGGTGCCAGTGATGGGAGCCAGGCTGAGCTCACGGGGTATTTGGGCTGGCCCAGCTCCGGGTTTGCCTGGCCGGCCAGCCATCGGCGCCAGGGGCAAGGGGCCCTGCATGGGCCCAGGGGCCACTGTGGGGGGCCCGTCCTCGGTCAAGGCAGGGGCGAGGTCTCCAGCCGGCGGCTCCTTCTTGATGAGGCATGGCTTGGATTTCTTCTTGAGGATCTCCCGCAGAGTGTCGATGGGTGAGCCGTTGACGGACCACTCGGTCACGCCCATCTGCCGCAGGTGTGAGCGTGCGTGGCTTGACAGGCCCTTTCGGTTCTCGAAGAACTCGCCGCAGAACTCGCAGCGGATGTCACGCACCGGCTCTGCCCGGGATGCTGCAGTGGGTCAGGGTAGGGGGAGGAGAGGGAGGCCGCGGCTGTTGGCAGGAAGCCTCCAAGCTCAAGGTCAGTGTTAAGTGCCCTGCTGCCCATCCATGCAGTCCCAGACCTGAATGGACCTGCTCCCTCATCTGCCTCCAGAGGCCCTTGAGTACATGATCCAGCCCTTCTGCTGCTTCTGTCACCTCAAATTCTAGCTGGCTTCACGATGACTCCCTATGACACTGTGATGGATTGAGGGGCAAGGGCTCCCTGGATCCTGGACTCAGCTGCAAGCTTGGCTGTGACTCCCTGTGTGAAGCTGGGAATCTCAGTTTCCTCCTCTGCAAAATGGGAGATGGAAACCACCTCTCTTGTGTTCCTGGGGTCTAAAGCAGGAGCAATTCAAAACATGTGGTTTACAGCAGTCGTGGATCGCATGTGAGCACTAAGGCAGAGGCCTGGGCTGTCCTTACCTGCTCGGCACACAGCAGCTCAACCAACTGGAGCAGAATGAACACAGTGACAGTTCGAGAGGGGAGCACTCTTGTTTGCTGTAATAGGGATGTTACAACTACTGCATACATGGAGCTGTTTCAGCGTTAAAGCTAAGGGCTTTACACCACTTCGGAAAACCATAGCGTTGGGAGCATGCGCATCTCCATCTTCCAAAAGAGGAAACTGTCCGAAGTCACATATTGTTAGACTGTGGAGCAGCTGAGACCTTAACCTGAACTCCAAACATCAAGTGTTTAGTGACCGGGCATATCAGAAAGACACCCATTTCCAGCACTTACACTCCTGCCCATGGCAGACATCACCGATTGATCCCTACAAGCGTGTTTTTTTCCCCCTAGGAATCTGGATAGTAGCCACTACCACTCAATCAAAGATGGCAGGGAGAATCTCTTTACCACTGCCTAATGACACAATTCTGCACCCCTCACAGGAATGAAGAATCATCAAGCAGCAGCTCACTCAGCTGGGGGTCTGCATAGCAGGAACTCTTGGCTAGCCCCTTGTCCTCTGGACCTGTGTACTTCCTTTTCCATTTCAACTCTGGGTGCTCCGGGTACCCCCGAGGGAAGTGAGGGGAAGACCCCTCTACCTGTTCTCCCTGTCCTGCCCCAGGGTCACACTTACACAGGTTCAAGGGGGTCATGTCTTCCCGAGGTGCCACCCAGGGACCCTCGGATGGGTGCGGTTCCCCATGAAGGGCCCCCGGCAGCATCTCCCGCTTGATCTCCACCCTCATTTGTTCAGGCTTCAGCTTCTTGGGCAGGGAGGGTGAGGAGAGGCCTGGGAACATCTTCCGGGCCGTGGGAGGAGAGGCAGTTGGTGAGTGGCCCAGGGGGCTGCCTGGTGCTGGCGGCAACTTCTTGGCCAGGGGTGAGAGGTGAAGGTCCGCGGGGCTGCGGGCTTCCAGCGAGCTGCCAGGACCTCCGCTGCTCACCACCTTGGCCAGAGCTTTGGAGCTAGGCCCTGATGGGTTGGGGGGTCCGCCAGGCCGGGACTGGGTCCGTCTCTTGAGGATCTCCCGCAGCGTGTCGATGGGTGAACCGTTGACGTACCACTCGGTTACGCCCATCTGACGCAGGTGCGAGCGGGCATGGCTCGACAGGCCCTTGCGGTTCTCGAAGAACTCTCCACAGAACTCACAGCGGATGTCGCGTGCCGGCTCCGGGCCCGAGGCTGCAGCAGGAGAGAGGGGCGGTTAGCTTCACTGGCACTGTTAGGATCATCACCTGTGGGTCTCCTGGTCGGCTGGGCGTGGACAGCAGCATGTCCAGGGGCTGGGGTGGTGATGGAGGGTAAGTGCAAGGGAGGGAACTGAGGAGTGGGGTGGGGGTGAGGGGCAGACACCCGGTAGGAGCGCAGGGAGGCTCTAGAGCAAGCCTGTGGGCCCTGGGTCCTGGTGGAAAAAGGACAGAACCAAGACGCCACAGCTCTGAGGGTCCCAACCGGGATGAGGGCAGGAAATGGTGGCCCTGCCATCCAGACCAGGGGCAACCATGGGCACCTTCTATACCAAGAGGCAGCACCCCACCCTTGGCCTTCATTCTGAGGGAAGGTCAAAGGCCAAGAGAGAAGGCCTAGCAGCCAATGGCCAGCAAGATCTCTGGGCAGAACTGGGCCACTGCTAAGGGCCCCTGTCCACTCCCGGCCTCAGCAGGGAAGGAGGAGGGACAGGGCTGTGACTCCCCACCCTGGGAGGGGCTCCAGGGCCCGCAGGGAGGACGGGGGCAGCTGAAGCGAGAACCTACAGAGGTTGAGAGGAGACGGCTCCACATCAGAGGCCCAGAAAATGCCAGCGGCTGCGGCGGCCGGGAGGTCCTGCTTCCCCCAGGGGCTGGCCGCACCCTTGGCCTTCAGCTTGGCCCTCTTGGCCGGCGGTGGGGGGAGGGGCAAGGAGAGGGCCGCAGGAGCGGGAGGAGGCCGCCCCAGCAAGGCCAGGGCGCCCCGCCCGAGTGGGAGGCGGATCTGGACGCCGGCCCTCCGGATGAGCCCGTGGAGCACGTCTATGGGGGATCCCTTGGCATCCGGGTCGCTGACGCCCAGGTGGCGCAGGTGGGCGCGGGCGTGGCTGGACAGGCCCCTGCGGGTCTCAAACCAGGCACCGCACAGCTGGCAGTCCAGCTCTCTGCCCCCGTCACTATCTAAAGCTGCGGAGACAAAACACAGGGGGGCGGTTCACAGCCGCCACCTCGGCTGGCCCTCCGGGACTGAGGCGGGAAGGCCTGGTGTGAGTCTCGGCGGCCCAGGCTGCTGGGAGTCCAAGACTCGCTGCCGTGGATTTATGAGGTTTGGGGAAGGAGAAAGTCATGTTCCTTGCCTAGGCCTTTGGCATCAAGGTGAGTGTACAGAGCTTACGGCTACAGAGACTGCAGGGTAGAGAGGCAGTGGCCCAGCTCTAATGACACTCTTTCAGGCTTCCAGGCCCCCTTCCCAGGTAGCTCAGCCGTGGAAGCTGTGCAGGCTGGGCTGGAGGTGACAAAAGCAGGGGCACACTGGCTGCCAGGCCTCACACAACCAAGGGCACACCTGCTCAGACCCTTGCTCCTGGAAGCACACAAGACCGTGGAAGCAGATTCATTAGAACATGAGGTGCAACTGGGCTGCCCTGTTGGGCAGGGAGCCAGACCCTAGGCTCACTCTCAGAGCCTGAGGCCCACAAATGTGCGGGGAGGTCTGAATTCCTAAAAGATGCCCTTTGTTAAGTCTGCTCACCAAGCCTGGGAGTTGCTTCCCAAGCCCTTCTTTGCCATGCCCACAGGCAGCCCTAGAGGTACAGTTCCAGCCCTGGGCACGGAGGTACCTCTGCAAAGGACACCAGGAACAAGAGGATGTGAAGACAGGGCCAAGCATGGGCCCACCTGGCTAGTGGACCACCTGTTTACCTGTAGGACCCCAGGTGCCCCATGGGATCCCTGGCTACCTTCACTGCCCCAACCCTCAGGCCCAGAGAAGGTCAAAAGCGGCCCTAAGGGGCAAGGATGACCCCGGCAAGCTTAGTAGCCACCGTGAGATTTCCAGGGGGAAGAACGGCAAAGTGAAATGGGAGACAGGTAACATGCCCAACCGGAGACACAGCACCTTGATTAACACGCTCTGACCCAGCCGATCCAGGATGCGCAGGCGCTAAGGTCCCCACTGCATCCACCCAAGCCCCGCAGCCCAGCCTGAGGCCCCGCCCCTCCCTCGGCTCCCAGGACCCGCACTCACTGAGGTTCAGGGGCCCCTCGTCCTCAGACTGGGGCCACTGGGCCTTTGGAGAGGCTGGCCGGGGGCTCAGGGACAGCTGGGGGCTCTTCTCCTCAGGATTCTTATGGGTAGGGGAGCCCGCCAGGGCCAGCGATGCCTTCTTGAGGAGAGGGGAGTTGGGCGGGTGGGCCAGGCCCTTAGCTGAGAAGCCGGGAGGCGACTTGATGGCCTTGTTGACAGCAGGAACATCGAGGGGCTTGGCCAGGGCGAGCAGGCCAGGTCGTGGGGCTCCAGCGACTATCTCCTTCGGCGAGTTGGACTTCTTCGTCAGGCTTGGGGGCAGCCCAAGGGGTGTGTCAGGCAGGCCCTTCTGCTTCACGAGCTCGTAGAGGAGGTCAATGGGGGCACCACTGCTCTCCGACTCGGCCACCCCCAGCTGCCGCAGGTGGGAGCGTGCGTGGCTGGACAGGCCCTTGCGTGTCTCAAAGCAGGCACCGCAGACCTCGCAGGTGGTCAGGCTCTGGGCTGGAGGGTGAGACCAAGGCCGGGAGAGCTGTCTGTGAGCTGCACAGGCTCTGCTCTTCCATTTTCCCTCCCCTTGGGGTCCCGCTCACCCAGGCTCCTGGCTTCCGTCAACCCCTTCCACACTTAAAATGATCCTAATGAGGCAGAATTTAGCCTGTTCAGTTTTCAAATATAGGAAACTGAGTCTCAGAGAGAGGGGGGAGGAAGAGTTGTGCCCAAAGGCACACAGTGGTAGGCAAAGCCCTTGGTGGTCCAGCCAGTGGCATGCTGTTCACATTTCTAATGTACCAGGGTGTCCTGGCAACAGGTTGTCATACAGACGCTGACCTGCTAGACACACACTTTAAAGAGTAGCTTAACTTGTGCCCCAGATGCTAGGCTGGGGGCCTCAGCCATGGTCTCCGTGGGGCCCTGTCTGCACACTTTTTCTGCAGAGCCCTCATCTCCTCTGCCTTGCTGTCCCCCAATGGCAGTGACCCCCAAAGACAAAGACCGGGTCTGTTTTGCGTCTCTCACATCCCAAGGGTCCAGCACAGTGCCTGCCATTACTGAGTAACGACCTGAGAATCAATGGACAGACAAGGCAGTTTCATGCAGAAAATCAAGATAGCTACCAACGATCAAAGTCAGCAAATGAACTGGGTCTGGGGGTGCGCTCCTGATGACCGTGCCCACTGTCTCTCTGGATGCCCCTCCCCTGACCAGGGCTTGAGGTCAACCATGCCCGTGGCAGCAATAACTCATGAAAGAAGACAGCTGGGGGTCTCCTTGGTACCATGAGATGCCAGAGAGAGCTGTGGCTAACCTAGGGCCCCCCCACCCCCATTAACCCTCCAGCCCAAGAGCTCCCTGAAAGCGTGACCAGCCTGGCCAGCACCCTTGTCACCTGCGCCACTCACCCTTGAGGTCCGGCAGCTCCTGCTTGCTGCCATGAGGAACCTCTGCAGCCATTTTGCTGCTCAGCCGATTGGCCACCTGCTCCAGGGGCCCAGGGACAGGCAGGCTCTTCTTGGGAAGCGGGGGGGAGCCCAAGTCCATGGCCACCATTGCGTTTTCCTCAGAACCCAGGCCTGTGAGGTTGGGAAGACAGGCTCAGCCCAGGTAAGGCGTGGGACGTCTACCCCTGTAAGGACAGAGGGCCAGGGGCGTAGGGCTGGTGGCCGTGGGAGCCGTCTTCCTCATCCTTGGTGCCTGCTCTCACTTTGGGACGCAGCTCACCCCATGAAAGCTGAGGCTCCATCCATAACCCCGAGCTCCGATACGACGCAGGGATGTCAAGGCCGCCAACTGACAGCACAGACTAGGAACGGCTTCCACCTACCACAGCACAGATAGGTCACCGGCCGTGGTGCTAATCTCAGAGGAAAGACCTCTCCAGGCAGAGAGATGTCTCTGGGCTCCTCTCTGCGGAGCGGGGCATCTGTCAGTCTTGGGGGGCAGGTAGGTGGCAGTCAGAAGGGGAATTTGGAAAGAAAAGGCCAGGGTCAGAGGCCACAGAGGCAGGCAGCACTGGACTGGAAGGGAGGCTCCCTGAGACTTGTGGGGAGGTCCACCAGGCAAGACAACTGCGGGGGCCCTAGGGTGGTCTTCTTATCACAAGCTAAGCCCAAGGAAAGGGTAAAGGTAAGAACTGGGAGCCTGGAACAGCCGGGGGCCTGACTGGGGACAATGAGGATGGGAATCACAGAACTTTCTCAGAAGTTTCTGAGGCATCCAGCAAGCTGGAAAGCTTCTCTGGGTAAGATGTATATGAAGACAGGGAATCAAAGGTGAGTTTTCATGGTCTAATTTTTTTAGAGAAAGGGGCCTGAGAGGCCTGTTGAGTCCGAGTTTTAGCGTTCAGAGCAAGGAGAGAGGTCAGAATGAAGGAACGGTGCGTCAGATGGGGTCCTGGAGGTGCTCCGTGTTATGGGCAGCGGGGGGGGCGGGGAGAGACACGGACAGGTAGGTCCTCGGCTCAGTCTGAAGTCTGAGTCCTACAGAGGCAAGGAGAAAGGAAGCTGGGATTCGGCGGGGGTGGGCGCCTGGGACGCCGAGGACTTTGTCAAAGTCTCCGGGTGGAGTGGGCGCATCTGTCAGTCGGGGCAGCGACCGTGTCAAGGCTGAAGTGACTTGGAGTCGGTTTCCGCGCCGGAGGAACAGAGGCTGCGGTGAGACGCAAACCAGGGGCTTCAAGGAGCTTAGTGGCTATCTGTCAGATGGGATAAGGGTTCCGCAGAGTGGCGGCGGAGAGTGTTTCTGAAGCTCGGGACCCTGCGAGCCGCGACAGGAGGCCCAGGGTCCCCGCGACTGGAGTGCTTGGGGGGAGGGGAAGTCCCGGAGACTGGACGGCGGGTGTCTGGGGCGGCGGCTGCAGCAGGGGGCGGGCGGGACGCCAATTCTGCCCTCCCCGCACCCTCCCCGGCGCGGGATGCTCTCCGCTTTTGTCACTCGGCACTGGGCGGTGGAGGCGGCCATCTTGGCTCCGGCGCACGCGGGGCGGCCGCCCCAGGCGAGAGCAGCCGAACGCCGAGTGCCGCCGCCTCGGAGCCTGCTCCGCTCCGCCCCACCCCTCGGGGTGCGCCCAGGGCGACCAGCCGAGCGCCGAGCACCGCGAACGAAACCCTCGTCCCCGCCCGACCAGAGGAGAGCTCGCGCACTCCTGCACGCAGTGCTACTAGCGGCTGCCAGCATTGCTGCCCTAGCCTGGTCTCAACGGGCCGAGATTTTCTCCCCGTACCCTGGACATCTCTAAGACTACGATGGGAATCCTCCGGCCACACGCATTCGCCTTAACAGCATCCAGGCTCCTAGAGCCCGACGGGCGGAGCCAGGACCTGCCCGGGGACACTGTTTCATTCCCTTCCTTGGAAGTCTCCCCTCCAGGTCAGGAATCCTGGAAGACACCTGATCCCCAACCAGGAGGATCCCCCAACATCATGCTGGCATCCACTGTCCCCTGACGGCGCTATCTGGCAATTCTATCGAACTCCCCACAAGGCCGGCACCACATTTCAAGCGCAACCTGCTTCTCCCTTCCCCAAACTAAACGGATCGCCCCCAGCTGTTACTTGACAGCTGGGTGGGACCAGCATCTGACCACTGCCCCGCCCCCAACTTGGAGTCCGCTTCCTACAGCCCACTTTGGGAGGCATGGGAGATCCTTCTAAGGATGGCCGCTTCTCGTGGTTGGTGGCCAGACCTGGCCAGACTGTTGGACATCGTTCCTCAAGGCTTCTAGGATCGTCTCAACCACTCCTTAACACCCTCACCCCCAACATGTTCACTGAAAGACTGATCGTAACCCTAAGCCCCCAAGGACAAGGCCAGTGTGGAACCAGGCTGACTCCTTTGTCCCAGTGACATGGTCAGCTTCCTCAGCACTAACTGGGGGCTGGTACACTGGTCTTCTGGTAGAAACAGAACCTGGCTGCGGGTTGCGTGTTGCCATCCCCTGAGTGCCTGACCAGGTGCCAAGTAAAGGGTGTAAGCCTGATATTCAGGACTCCGGTCAGAGAAAGAAGGGGCCAAGGTTGAAGCCTATAAACTGCTTCCTGTCCCCCTCCTTCACCCCCTCCCCCACTCCCACCCGCAACTAGCCAACTTCAGAGCAAACTGCACCTCCCAGCCACCACTGAGACACCAAGAAACCTAGCCAGGTATGTGAGCTGAGTGCCTAGGGGATAGCCTTCACAGAGGCAAGAAGCCTGACTGTGAAATAATTAGCTTCCAACTAATAAAAATAAATGAAAAAAAAGAAGCCTGAGGTCACGGCCCCACTCTGCCTCTCTCTGAAGTGTGACCTCAACCAACCACTATCCTCTATCTGTGCCTCAAATCTCTTCCTTGTCCAAGGATGGGAGGGGCCTTCAACAGCCACACTCTTCCCTTTGCAGACCCTGAAATGTCCTTCACTGGTAAGGGGTCTCGTGGATGGATCCAGCAAAGGCAGAGTACAGATCTAGGGTGTGTGTGTGTGTGTGTGTGTGTGCGCACACACACACGCACACTAAGTCACTACAGTCGTGTCTGACTCTTTGAGACCCTATGGACTGTAGACCGCCAGGCTCCTCTGTCCATGGGATTCTCCAGGCAAGAATTCTGGAGTGGGTTGCCCTGCCCTTCTCTGGGGGATCTTCTTGACTCCAGACTGAACCCACATCTTTTATGTCTCCTGCATTGGCAGATGGGTGCTTTACCACTAGCACCACCTGGGAAGCCCAGGACCCTGAAAACTCCAGGTAGGAGAAACAGAAGGAACCCTTGGCCCCAAGCAGCCCCTGGATAATTCCCCTGTTCAGGTACCTTCTCCATTCCTCAGAGCCCACTTTCTCCTCACTGCTGAGTTTTTCTCCTATGAGGTTCAGTAAAGACTCCCACAAAGTCAGGCTTTGTAAGGCTGAGTCCTTCATATTTCCACTTCCTCCATGGAGTCCAGCCCCAGGCTCCTTCACTAAAAGATTACTTCTGGATCATCCCAAGCCTCTGATGAGACCATCTAACTTGGTGTTCAGAAGTCTAGCTGTGCTGCTTTGTGGCTCTGGCAAAGCAGATGACCCACAGTTTCCTTATCCAAAAGACAGGAACACAGAAATCCTCAGCTCCACGGAATTGTTTTGAGATGTAAGTGAGATGAAACCTTGGGACACAGCAAGCACTTTCTTAAGGGAGGGGTCATCAATGCTGCTGGACACAGTGCATGCGTGTGTGCTCAGTTGCTCAGTCATGTCCGACTCTTTGTGACCCCATGGACTATAGCCCACCAGGCTCCTCTGTCCACAGGATTATCCCAGCAAGAATACTAGAATGGGTGTCATTTTCTCCTTCAGGGGATCTTCCTGACCCAAGGATCGAACCCGCGTCCCTGTGGCTCCTGTGTTGGCAGGCGAATTCTTTACCATTGAGCCATCTGGGAAGCCCAGATGGACACTGTAGGCACCACTGAAAATTTAGAATGTAAACTCTAGATCTACACTGTCCACTTGGATCACCGCTAACCTTGTACTAACTGCCTTTGACTCAACAGCCATATGTGGCCAGTGGTGACCCTGCAGTATGAATCTCTAGAGAACATTTCCATTGTCTCAGAAAGTTCCACCAGACAGTGCTGCTCCAGGAAAAAGACATCATTAAGATCAACGATTCTGAAGCTTATGCTTTCTGGGCTTTCAAACTCCAGTGCCACATGCTTTTAGCTGTATGACCTTGGGCATATTAATGAAGGTCTCTGAGCCTCAGTTTCCTAATCTGTAAAATGGGGATAATAACACCTGCCTTTAAAGAGTTGTTATGAGGATATAAATGAGCTCATATTTGCAAGAGGCTTAGGAGAGTATCTGGCTCCTAGTAAAGAGATCAGTAAGCCTCTGTTAAAACCACTGTCAGGCAGGGCAGGGAGGAACTGGACCTATACAGAGCCCTGGCCCAGCGACTGAGTAAAACAGAAAGGACCCCTAAGTGGCAGGACAGTAGTCAACCTACTTGGTAAAGTGACTTGAAAACACTTAAAGGAAAGCAGAGTAGCGGCCCGCCTCCCACTCCTCCATCCCTCCAGGCCCCTGGGAAGGGTCAGGGCTCTAGCCCTGCCTGCCCCTTCTCCCCTTACCATCTCCGTAGGCTGGCCCAGGGTCCTCAGCCCAGGTGGGTGGGAAGGGCACTGTAAGAGGTAAGCGGGGCCGGCGGGAGGTCAGGAAGCCACTAGGCGGCACCCCGGCTTCACGGCACAGGGGGCTGGGGGGCCGCTCAGCAGCCGAGGTGGCCAGCAGCTCTTGCAGGATGTTGATGGGCGAGACGGTGAGCTCCCAGTTGGTGATGCCAAAGTCACGCAGGTGGGCCCGGGCGTGGCTGGAGAGGCCGGCCCGAGTGTCAAAGCCGGCCCCGCAGAAGTCACAGCGCATCAGGCTGAAGGTGCCCGGGTCGAAGTTAGCCACTGTGGAGAGAGAGAGGGGACATGGACTGCCTGGGCAGGGGGCGTGGGGGCGGGTGTTACTGTACATCGTCCGCTCTCCCCGTGCCCAGGGCTGCTCCCTCAGCAGATCACTCGCCCAGTGCGGGTCCTCACCCTGGATGCCTGCCTTGCCCTTTGCTGTACATGCCCCTGCTGCATCTGCTCACTTCAGGAAGCCTTCTCTTCCTGGCCGCTACTGTCTCCCTTCACACAGCTCAAAGCATCAGGGGCCTCACCCCCAGAAATACTTCTCCAGGATGGATTTGCAGTCATTTGGATGAGCCTCTTTCCTCTAGAGCTCATGTCTGTATCACCCCAGTGTTATCAATGAAACCTTGGCTGAATGAAGCAATGGATCAAGGGGTGGGATGCCTTCCTCTGGGAATCTGCTCAGATCCCCTAGACAGAGTTGGGGATCTTCTCTAGGCTTCCCCACACCCCTCCCCGAGCTGCCCCCATCACAGCCCAGGTCACTTATCATCGTAACTGCCTAGTTTTGTGGCAGTCGGTCCCCTGCCTGTTCCCTGCATTGCACATACACACACACACTCTCAAACACCCTACCAGCCCCTCCAAGTGTGGGCTCCATGTCTGCCAGCCAGCCAGAACTCCCCAGGGCACTCATGTGGAGACAGACTTCTGTAATCAGAACCTTGGTGCCTAGGAATCCACATACCTCACAGGCAGCCCCAGGGGTTCTGAAGTCAGCCAGGGTCCCACCATGCCTCTGGGACTGTGCACTTGGGAGGGCAGGGGCTCATGTTCTGTTCATTGTGGTGACCTCACCCAATAAAGATTTGTCGAATGAAGGACTCAATGATATTTTCTGCCTGGGGTTGACTCCTCAGCCCACACTCCAGCTACTGGAAGGGCCAGACAGTTGGGATGTCCCCACATCTCCTCTGATGCGGTGACCTTGGCCCCAGCTCCCTGCCTTCACCCTGCTGGGCACTACAGGAAGCTTTAGATTGAGGGTTTGTTGGTTCAGGACTCAGCCGCCCAGCTGTGCATCTCCCCGGCCTTGGCCTCGGAGGGAGGTGGGTGCTGGAGTGGAGCCACCCTACCTTTTTTCTTCTTCTTTTGGAAGGAGAACCTGCGCTCGATGGCCTTCACCTCCTCAGCGGAGATGAAATGCCGCACGTTGTAGCTGACGCCCACACGGTTCAGGTGGCCCCGCACGTGGTTGGCCAAGCCGATGCCATTGTGGAAGCGGTCGGGGCAGTAAGGGCATTTCCGCTCCTCAGGCTTCAGTGCCACGCCTGGGTCCCCATCCAGGAATGGGTCCAGCCCCAGAGGGCCGCCCAGTGGCGTGTCCAGGAGCAGGAAGTCCAGGGGGTGGGTGCCCCCCAGCCCCAGTTCCCCAGGCTGCAGCCTTGGGGGGGCCCTGGCCGCCGCAGCCATGACTCGTGGCCCGAGCTTCGCCACCAGCACTACAGGCACCATCCCGCAGAGCTGCTGCTGCTGTGCCCGCGAGGCCCCCGCCGTCTGCAGCGCTTCTCGGAATGTCCGCTTCAGCTCCAGGGCTGGCTGTGGGATGAGGCCGGGGCTGGCTGGCGGCGCAAAGACCCTGCTTTCGGGAGGAAAGTCCATCTCCGAGGCCAGCAGTAATTCCTCCTCCTCCTCCTCATCTTCCTCTTCGCTCCATGGGTGCCTCTGGTCCTCCAGGTGGGCTGGGAGCCCCTGAGGCTGGACAGTACTCTTGCTTCTGCTGGCCTGTAAGGAGTATGCGGTGGATGCTAGTGGTGAGGGGAAGGCTGGCCTTCCCAGGAGCCTCTGGCTTGAGCAGTGTGGGAGTGGCTTTGACAGTGGGAAATCCCTCATGCCCAGCTGCTGGCAGCCTGGGCCAAAGGCCAGGCTGGGGTCGTATCCAGCAGGATTCTCCCGCCACGTGGGGGCCAAGAGCGGCTCAGCTTTGCCAAAGTAGTCGGCAGCCTCAGAGAATTGGGTGTAGGCATCCTGGCTGGTGCCGGGCCGGCTGGCAGGGCCCTCCTCCTCAAAAGCCTCAGCATCCTCCTCCTCCTCCTCCCAGTGGGGATGCGCGTGCATCAGCCTCACATGCTCCCTCAGCAGGCTCTCGCTGGGTGCGGGGAAGCCACAGAAAACACAGGCGCTGAGGCCCGAGGGGTCTCCGTAGGGCTGGTAGGCGAGGGAGGTGGCGTCGGGGCCTGGGCTGCCTGCCCCGCTGCCGCCCCCGAAGTGCTCCTGGGCCGCTGGGCCCCGCGGCTCCTGCATGTGCAGCTTGGCGTGCTGCACAAAGGCCTTGGAGGAGTTGGTGCCAAAGACGCATCTTGGGCACTGCAGCCGTGCCTCCCGGCCCGCGTCACCTGGGACCTGCTTTAGCTTCTGGATCTCCTCGATGATCTTCTCCCGGGAGGCCTGGTGCAGCTGGCGGTGCCGCTCGAGGGCGCTGGGGTCAGCGAAGGCCCAGCCACACTCGCCACAGGCCAGCGGGGCCAGCTCAGCCGGTGGCTCCTGGCCCGGGGCCCGGCGGTGCTGACTCATGTGCTCCAGGAGGTGCTCCTTCTGCTTGAAGTAGATGCTGCACTCGATGCACGGGAACACGGCTGGCTCCTCGTCTTCATCCTCGTCGGGGCTGACTGCCCCCTCGGGTACCTCCTCCAGGATCTCGCACAAGTAGGGCCTCGTCCGGACGGAGGACAGCAGCGGTTGCAGCCGCTCCACAGATGCCTCTGAGTTCACCATCCAGGTCTGCGTGGCCACCTCTGAGGCGGACCGGGGCAGGCTCCACTCAGATGGCTGGGTCAGGCCCTCGAGGTCTGCCAGGTGCTCTCTGGTGCCCACCACTGGCCCATCCAATGTCTTCGTGGTATCGTCTACAGGCACGAGCACTGTCCTGAAGGAGGTGAGGGGTGGCGGCTGGGGAGGCAAGTCTATGTCCAGCTCCACATCCTGGAGCGGGACCGCCTCGTCTGCATCTTGCAGCCAGTCAAACCTGGGGCGGCCCCGGGGGATCTTCTCAAATACCTTCGATTCCCCCTGGTGGTGGTACAAGAACCTTCTGGAGCCCTCCAGCTCAGCATGGGGCTTCACAGTTCTCACGATGACGGAGTCCTCGAACCTCTGCTCAGATGGGAGGTCCTCCCCAGCCTCCTGAATTAGGGGGTGCTCCCAGGGCCCCCGGCCATCCGGGGGGCCTGGGTAGTGGCCCAGGGGATGGGGTGAGGGGGAGCCCGGCTGGAAGTCCAGGCTGCCTCCATCCCAGCAGCTGCAAGGAAGGGCCAATGGGGACAGATTAGCCACAGGCCTCGGTTTCCTTTCCTTGGGCAAGGGACAGTGAGGGGGTGGGGGTGGTTCCCAGGCAGTCTGAGACAGGTTCCAGAGAACTCAGCCCATGGGCCACCTCCAAGAGGTGGGGAGTGTGTGTCAGTTGGGAGGTCGGGGGAGTGTGTGTGGACCCTTCCAGAGCGGTTGGGTCAAATACGAGATTCAGCTCCCAGGGTTCATACTTGTGTATGGAACCCAGCCCTGCTGCACTGCAGGGGATAGGGGCGGGGTGTGTGTGTGTGTGTAGAGTGTGCAGAGACCACAGTGGGGATCACAAGGAATGTCTCCAAGTCTGATGGCACAGTCAACTCTCATCTGTCCCCTGGGAGGGTCCTAGATGACCTTCCCATTTTGGTTACGTCACAGGCTGCTTTTTTTGTCTTGGTCCTCCCCAAATTGGAGTGATTTGTTCATTGAGTTTCCTCTTTCCAGCAAATTTGGTAAAACTTGGCAGCAGGAACCATTCAAGAGAATGCACTTTCCTCCCTGCTTCTCCCTGTGAGAAGAGTCGGGCCCTGCTCAGCCTGTGGCTCCAGTGAACCTGCCCTCCTTTGAGGGGAAAGTGGAGGCACGGCAACCTCACTAGGCCTCAGTTTTCCAGCCCTAAAAATGGGGACAAGTCCCGAGAACCAACAGCTTCCGTGCCTGTATTCAGTGACTGAGGGAGTTTTCTCACGCCCGTAATCAAAGAAAACTTAACACGCTGCAGGTGCTTATTTAAATTACAGCAACCACAAGCTTTCAAATGGGAACCTTGACCCCGTCAAGTGTAGGGTGAACATGACACAACTCAGTGCTGGGAAACGCTTCACGTGGCCTGAAACCCGGCTCCCAGCAGGCCCACGACCAGTGTGGGTTCTTATTATGACTGCTCCTGATTGGTTTCTCTCATTTTCAAGATCTTGCCTCCATGAGCGGCTATGAATCACACCCATGGAACAGATGTGGAGATGGGTTCCACTGAGAGACTGAGCAGAAATCATGGGGTTACCTCCACGTTAACGGGACCACTCCCTCCAGGGCTATGGCAAAGATTCAGTGGGGTAAACTCCCGCACTGAGAGCATAGTATACAGAAAGCACTAAATAACAGAGAGCTATTATTAATCCCAATATGGATGCTGTTACACATTAGCGCCTGCCCATCCATTTAATAGGGGGCTTCCCTGGTGGCTCAGATGGCAAAGAATCTGCCTGCAGTGCGGGAGACCCAGGTTCGATCCCTGGGTCGGGAGGATTCTCTGGAGAAAGGAATGGCTACCCACTCCAGTATTCTTGCCTGGAGAATCCCACGGACAGAGGAGCCTGGCGGGCTGCAGTCCATGGGGTTGCAAAGAGTCAGACATGACTGAGCGACTAACAGTTTCACTTTCAAGCCATTTAATAAAAGGTTGCTGTCATCAGCACTGCTGTTGATTCCTGCTCCGATGCTACATCCCTCTGGTCTTCGAGGTGAGGTTGTGAGATGCACTACAAGGACTCCACTTACAGATGAGGAAACTGAGACTCAGAGAGGCCGAACCTTATTCTAAGGGTCACCTGGCAGAGACAGGACTCCAAGGGTCCAACCTCCAGGCTCCTGGCCTTCTGGCCCTGCTCCCGGCAGGGATAATGAGAGTTGACTGTCTGTGTTCATCCCAGTCCTCCCACCACCCCCTGCAAGCGCCCAGGGGCTTGCCTGAGGGGAGCCACCTCCTCCTGCCTGGTGTCCTGATTCCCTTCTGACCCCGTCTCATTCCTGGGGGCTTCTCTTGGGCCTAGGTGTGTCCTGCTCGCCCCCCTGCCCTCCCTGAGGTCAGGGCCAGCGTGGCAACTCACCAGCTGCTGATCCGATGGGTGGCGGAGGTGGCACGGGGAAGGGCTTCGCTGAGGCCAGGATGGGGCTGCCCATCTGCAACAGAGAGGGGAGACCCTGAGGGGCTGGGGTCCCCCTGGCTGGGGCCCTTCACAGCACCCCAGCTCCGGGAGCCCGACCGGGCACCTTGGAAGGGCCCAGCTGGCTCCCCACCCCTCTCCCCTGAGAGGCCTCTGGCCTCTGTACTCCTGAGCCCCAAAGGGGTTTCTCTGGAGGAGTCCTCTTAGCTTTCCTAGGGGACCACCAGGGCTTACTGCCTTTGGTCTTCCTCTCTTTGTCCCTCACCTGGCAGCCAGGGTGATCTTTTTTTTTTAAAGTCACACCCTGGTGAAAACTTGCCTGGCTTCTTATCATACCTCCAATAAAAGCCAGATTCCCAACTACCACCCGCAAGGTCCTGTGAGGTCAGACCTTTGCGGGTCTTTCCAGCTTCACCGCCTTCTCCTCCTCACCCCTCTCTCACTCTTCCCAGGCAGCTCATGAAGCTTCAAGCCCACCTAACTCTTTCTGGCCTCAGGGCCTTTGCACTGGCTATTCCCTCTGTCTGGAGAACACTTCCCTGGCCACCTGCTAAAAACTGAGCCCCTGTGATTTTCTCACTCATTGCCTTTTTTCTTTTCTTTCCTTAGCACTCTCTGAAATTGCCAGGGTCCTCCGCTGGCACATAAGCCACCCACCCCCACCCCAGGGGCCTCGCTCACTGCAGCATCTTAGTGCCAGGCACATGGCAGGTACTCAACCAATAGCTGCCAGATGAAGAGTGAGGAGCCCTTGAACCTGAGCTGCAGGGGGCCCATCCCTGCCTCCTGCCTCCCAGACCCCCTTTCAGGCCTACGACTTGGAATCACATTCCTCCTAGGAACCCTCACACAGATAGAGCCAACTCTCCATTATCCGCCTGTGGAGCCAATGCCTGGAGTGACCACAGGAATCCTGGCCTGTGCCTCCTCTGCCTGCCGCACCTGCCTGATGCAGGCAAGCATGCCAGTCAGGGCACAGGCCAATTGCTGGGGCCAGGGTTAACACACTGGGAAATCTTGTGCCCCATCCAGAGCCCAACAGATGCAGTTGCTGGGTCAGCTCCAATTTGAGGATGGTCCAGAAAGAGGGCTAAGCGCCGGGGTTGGTACTGATACTTTTCCCAATCCCCTACTCTCCAATTTGCCCAGGAGATTGAGAGCCGACTGTCAGGGGCAACAGAATTCAGAGCTGGTGAGGGTGGAGGGTAGCGGTCAGCAAGCTGTGATCACCACCACAAGGCTCTTTCTGCAGAGCCCGAGAGAAGGCGCATGACAGGTACATGGCCTCCAGGAGGTGAGAGTGTGATGGGGATATAGGAGTCTTCATCATTTAGAACAGTTTCTCAAACGTGGTACTGCTCACTTGTGGGGCCGAATCATTCTCTAGGGTGAGGGGGCATCCTGTGCATTGTGGGATCTTCAGTAGCACCCCTGGCCTCCACCCACCAGATGCCAGGAGCCACCCCACCTCCAGCCTTGAACCTGCAGTCATAACAACCAAAATTGTCTTCAGACAGGGCCACAGTGTCCCCGGGGGGCAGAATCTCCTTACTTTGAGAAGCTCTGTGGTAGGCGGATGGGGAGCAGGGCCAGGTCAGGGTTGAGCCCGGATGCAAGGGTCAGGGGAGTGCTGGAGAGGGTTCAAGGTTTGGGGAATGAAGGCCTGGACCAGCTAAGGGAGTGAGACCCCAAGAAACGTGTCTCTTGAGAACACAAGAATCCCAGACATGAGCTTCTTGGGAGAGGCCAGCCAGTTCACACAAGTCAGAGGGTCCAGATGTCCTGATTCTGAGATTCTGGGACCCCAAGCTCCTGAGATTCCGAGTGTCCCAGATTCGATGTTTCTGCGATTGCCGTTGTCTAAGAATTCCGCAAGCCAGGGGGCCGTGTTGGCCTCTTTGTTTGAGAGGCTCCAGTGAAGCACCTATTTTTAGGTGCTTTGGAGGAAGCAGACCAAGCAGGGTCCCGTATCCAAGACTCCTGGGGGACCTGGGGGCTCATCCAGTGGCCTCCACCGCTGAGAGGGGGTCCAGAAGTCCCTATGGGTCAGACAAGGCACCTTGGATGCAGCCCCCAGTGACGGCCGTGCCGAGGGGCCCTCATTGGCTCCTCCCATCTGGGGTCCCCGAGAGGGTCTGAAAGTGAGCAACTGAAAATGAGAAGGATGTCCGTGAGCAGCTTGAAGCCCAAGCCAGGCAGCTTGGCAAAGTGGCCAAGAATCTAGACATCAGAGTCAGACAGATCCAGTTCAAGGCCAAGCAGGAAACTGAAGGGCATGCCTTTCTTGCTCCAAGCCTGTTTCTTCCTCGATATAAGGGCAACAGCTATGGCCCCAGTCTCAAAGGGCCAGTGATGGGCGCCAAGGAAGATCACAGAATAAATGCTCAATCCAGAGAGTCGGCAGTGGGGGCGAGGAAGGGGGGCAGTTTGCCCAGGTTGGGGTTCAGGGTTGGCTCAGACATCCCCCAAGTTGGAAGGTAGAGGCTTGACTGAGAACCTCAGGCCCACTCACTCCACACTCTGGGGCCCCATGAAGGCAGACAGTATGCACTGCTCAGCCCTTAGCTCCCTGGTCCCAATGCCAGGCGTGCACCAGACTCTTCAGAAATCCATATAGACCATCCCAGCCCCCCAAGCTTCAGGTGCACCCAGGAGGCCAACCAGAGAAGCCAAGCATTGGGTGAGGGGCTGCAGGCGAGGCCACAGGGGCTCCAGGCCAACAGCCATGATGGAGGACAGAGGAGGCGGTGGATTCATCCATATCTAGGTGGAGGAGTTTGGAGGTAGCCCCTCCAGGAGTGCTCTTGAGGGGCTCCCAGGACTAGGCAGGGATGAGGCAGGGCCCAGGTTTCAGCATGGAATGGCAGTCTCAGAGGCTGTTCCTATTTATAGGCATCACAAGACTCCTAGGGCAGGTGCCTAGGGAAGGCGGGGTGGAATGGGCTAAGAGGGCAGTGGGGCACTCTGTCTGAAGCCCAGGCCCTTCTCCACCTTCCAGGCCATGACCCTACTCCAAGTCAAGCCCTAGCCCCATGCCCCAGATGCTCAGTGGTACCATTAGGAATAGACCTGTCCCCCCTCAGCAGCCATACCCCCGCCTCCTCCCCAGGCACATGCCCTGGACCCTGGTGGACTCCCCGGGGGAGTGAGCACACATCTACCCACCTACCTACTTTCTCCCTCTCTCCAGACCTGCGATTTTTCTTTTTCTTTTTTTGGCCACACCACGTGGCACATGGGAATCTTAGTTCCCTGACCAGGAATTGAACCCACGCCCTCTGCAGTGGCAGTGTGGAGTCTTAACCACTGGACCACCAGGGAAGTCCTCAGACCTAGGACTTCTGCCAGGTAGAGTAGAACACCCAATTCCTCAGGGCCAGATCCAAAGAGGGCCCTAGGCCCCAAAGTCCATTCCCCAGGACTCCCACAGAGTCAAAGTCCTGGACCTGCCCTGGTCAGCTGCATGACTTGGGACACGGTCTTGCCTCTCTTTGGGCCTTGGTTCCTACAGTTTGGGGGAGGGTATGGTTCTTTGAGCAGGGGTCTTGCCCCCTCGTCCTCCTGCATGACACCTTCAGGTACTACTAGTCACCTCCACACCACTGCACGCGTAGAGGCCCCTGTCTGGATGTCCCCTGCCCCCTGCCTGACTCACTGCTCCTCATCCAGGACTCTGGGATGTCCCCCAGCCTGGCCATCACCCATTGCAAACTCTGCAACTATGTCTTAACAGCTCGTGGCTGGTCTGTCTGTCTGACCCCAGATGGCAGGGTCCAGCGGGGGCGGATGTGGAGTGTATGCTTGGTCCCTGGCTGCGCACCAGTGTCCAGCCCCGAGGAGGTGAGCATTCCATGCTCTGTAAGTAACTGAGTCTCATGAGCCTTACTAAGGTGAGCTGGGACAGGTCAAGGATGCCCTGACATAGGGTGGTGGTGAAGGATGCGGGCTGTCAAGCCGGGTTACTGCCTGGCTGTGGGCCCTTGGGAAATTGACTTGACACTTTAGGATCTGAGTTTCCCCATCTCTAACACTGAATAATAATAACCGAGGTTACCCCACATGGTTCTTTTGAGAATGACAGGAGATGATCACATAAAGGGCTTGGCATGTAGGAGACCCATGATGAAGTACTTGGAGAGTCCTAGAACCCAAGGCCTTTAGAGCAGGCCAAGGAGATGAAGGGAGACACGGAGCGCATCAGCCTACACAGCACCCACCACTCTTCAGCTACACCAGGCTCCTGCCTGGCCCTTGACTACACCAGGCTCCTCCTTACCATAGGGTCTCTGCACATGCTGTTTCAAATTCCACCCCTTCAGGGAGGTTTTCCCAGGTTCCCCCAGGCATGATCCTGGCACTCTATTTAATACCCTCGCAGCACTTGTCACTACCTGCCCGTATGTTATTTACACAGTTGCTTGTTGTCTGTCTCCCCTATTAGAACATCCGGTTCCTGAGGGCAGGGACTCTTGTCGCTTTTGCTTACAGCTGTATCCCCAGCAGCTAGAACACAGCCTGGCACATGGTAGTTGCTGAGTATTTAATGAGGGAATGACAACTCTTTAGGTGGGGATGGTGCGAGATCCCCTTTTGCTGGGAAACCAAGGCAAAAAGGGACGGCTGTCATCCCTGACTGCCCAGTCTCTCCCCGGCCACTAGGGGGCATAAGCTGTTTGGGCCCCTGGTTCAGAAGTGGGACTCACCAAGACGGTGCAGCAAGAAGGAACTGGAATAGACTGACGGGAATGGGGGCATACCTGGAGAACAAGTGGGTTCAGGGAGGGGAGCTCGGGGGTGCTAAGCTGAGCATCTGGACCCCATTAGTATACTCAAAGAAGGAAGCCAGGCAGACCTGAGTCAAGTCCCAGCTCCTTGCTCTCCACCAGGGCGGGCCTTGGTCAGGTCATTAGTTCCCGAGACCTCTGTTTTCACAACTGTAAAGTGGGCAACTAAGCAGAAGGCAAAGGCTCTGAACCCAGGCAGAATCGGGATCCCAACTCAGCCCTTGATGGGCTGGGTGACTCGGCCCTCCCTGAGCCTTGGGGACCTGGCTGGATGCTCCCCTCAGGGCCACAGGGCCCACCCTCTTACCAGAAATGCCACCTCTGCCATCCAGAATGTCTCGAGGGCCCTCCTTGGTGACAGGCAGGTAATGGGCAGACCGGAAGATGCAACCTTCCCCCTCAGCAACCTCGGCCCCACCTTCGATGTCCTCCCTTGGCGCTGGGCCAGGCAGTCTCTCGGGGCCTCGAGGGCGATCTGGGGCGGCCAGGCCGCCTGCCAGGGGCCCATCCATAGATGCTTTCTGCTTGGCTCCACTCAGCTGCTGGCCCGGCTCAGTGAGGCATTGTAGGTCTGGTGGGGGGGCGGAGGGGGTAGAGAGACAGGTGCTCAGGGGAGGCTGGAAAGGGATTCTGCCTCAGTTTCTCCTTCCTCGAAGCCCCTGTCCTCACACTTGTGGCTTGGTGCCTCAGTTTACCCCCCAAGCACAGATGAGCAAGTCCATAGTGCTGAGGCCCTATCCCTACACGTTGATCTCAATGGTCTCTAATCTCAGCACGCCTCGGCTTTCGTCCACAACTCCTCTCTTTGCACTGCCTCAGTTTCCCCCACTTTACAGCATTCATGCTCAGATACCTTGTTTTCTTGCAGCATTAAACCTATTACTTCTCCTAGATGCCTCCCTTCATTCATTCGTGGTTGCACTTTTCCCAGTTGTGAACTCACTTCCATGCACATGCATATCCTATGTGCGTGCCTCAGCACTGCTACACTCTGATCCCATACACTGTCTCAAGTCCCCCCATCATTACCCCTGCACTTTTCTCACTCCTGTTGCCCGAATCAGTTACCCCTCACTTTTCCCACACTCCAACCCTCCGTCCACACACAACCTTAGGGTTCTCCAGCATTAACCCTTTCACCCTCACACTCAGCCGCAAGTGACCCCAGCCTTAACCCTCTTGCTTCACCCCAACCTTACCCCTCATGCATACCCAGCCTGGGTTCCTCCATCCCACCCTCCCAAGATCTCTCTAGTCTGCGGGCAAAAGGGAAGGATGGAGCTCCTGGTCCAGAAATGAGGACCCTGGGGAGGCCATGGGGGGTGGGGGCTGTCTTCTCCACCTATAAATACCTTCAAGGTAACGGCGGAAAGTGAAGGGCAGGAATGAGGCGCCCTCCCCAGGGAGATGGTAGGGAGGCCGATCCCAGGCAACCGGGGCGGGGCCGGGGCTCCAGGCCTGGCTGCAGGCGCTGCCCTCGAGGGCCTGGGGGCTCCCAGGGGGCCTATCCGTGGACTGGCCGTTGTGGTGGGGGTCCCTGCTCAGGCCCCGAGGAAGCACCTGCGGGTGCCCACCGGGTGGGCACTGCCCGCGGGGAACGGGCGGGACCGCAACTTCGGAGCACTTTGGCAGCGTGGGGAAGGGGGTTCCCTCCTGGACGCCCCCGGGGGTCGCAGGGGTGGTGGCGACGCCGCGCCAGCACACCCCTCGGGGCGCCAGGGTCCACGCGATGCGCCCTCCGCCCGTGCACCTCGGGGCGGGAGACCCCGCGGGACGCGCCGAGGTTGGGGGGGGGAACACCTGCCCCAAGACCCCCGCTCCTCCCCACAACCTGTGCGGCCCCGCCCCCACTCACCGGGGAGGCGGCGCCGCAGGCTGGGCGCCGGGGCTCGGCGCTCCCTTCTTTGGTGCGGCCGTCGCTGCCGCTACCGCCCTTGCCGCTCCCGGTGCCGGTGCCGCGGCCTCCGCAACCGCCGCCGCCTCCACCGCTCGGGGGACATTGTCCCTTTAAATCGCTCCCCCCGCCGCCCCGCCCCCCCGGCGCGCCGCCGTGACCTCAGCGCGACAGCCCCGCCGCGCCGCCATGATGGGGAGGTCCGGGGCGCCCCCCCGCGCCAACCCGGTGGGGGGGCAGCCAGCAGGCGCGCCGCCATTTTGGGAGTGGCCAGAAGGGTGACCCTTAAAGGGCCCGCACGACCTGAGAGTCCAGGGAGAGGCTCTGTTACCATGACAACACTCTTGTCCTCCTGTCCCCAATGGCTCTTCTTCACCCCACTGGTTCTTCCAGTGCTAGGCCCGCTAATAGCACCAGAAGAGTGGGGATGGGGCAGAGAAGTTCCCCCATGGGTCATTCATAGGTCATTGAGGACTCCACATGGCCAATCCCTAGCCTTCAGACCCTTGCTACCTTCCAACCACTAGCTCGTTCCCTCCTTCCCCATTACCTACACTGGACTTCAGTACTTTCATGCCCCTAGAGCTGGCCTAGGTCCCCAGTGCAAAGCCCCCTCTTTCCACCCAACCCCCAGGATCACAGTTGCCAAGACGACCCCATAATGTACACAATGCTACTTCTCCCACCCATCACCCATCTACATGTCCAAACTACCCATTCATCTCTCCACCCATTCACCCACACACCCAACCACTCATTTACCCATCCAGTAGATTAACCACCTAGCCATCCACCCCTCCAACCACCTATCCATCCATCCATCCATCCATCCATCTATCCACCCATCCATCCAAACACTCACTCAATGACCATCCACCTCCCATCAACCTACTCATCCATCCGCTACCTATGTAAATACCTACTTATCCATACAACCAAGCAAGCATCCACCCATCTCTGCACATAATCCTTTCACCCAGTCACCCAAAAGTGAAGTTACTCAGCCGTATCCAACTCTTTGTGACCTCATCGACTGTAGCCTACCAGGCTCCTCCGTCCATGGGATTTTTCAGGCAAGAGTACTGGAGTGGGTTGCCATTTCCTTCTCCAGAGGCTCTTCCCAACCCAGGGATGGAACCTGGGTCTCCCGAATTGTAGGCAGACGCTTTACATTTGAATCACCAGGGAAGACAGTCACCCAAACACCTATCCATCAATTGCATTTTTGTCTTCTCCACTAGAGTGTAAGCTCCATGAGTACAAGAGTCTGTCTGTGGAGTTCAGAGACCTCAACAAATGTACATGCAATACATATAACTGCTTACTCATTTAATTCAAATATTTATTTCCTACTATGAACCAGGCCTTTTCTAGACAGACATAGCCATCCCAGCTAACCACCTACTCAACTACTCACCTACCAGGGCAAACATCCAGCAAATGCTTAACCTATTCATCTGCCTGTCGTCCTATCCACCCTAACTCTCACCCATTTACCCACTCATGATTCAAGTGCCCATTCATTTTTTCAACCACCACACACAGAGTTTAACCTTCTCTATATCTACCCACTCCTTCTTTCATCTGCCTCCCAGACTCACGCCCTCACTGAATCAAGGAGCCAGTGTTGGAACTGGAGTGCTAGGAAGATGCTCTCATCTGAGATCTGGAAATTAGTGGAGATGAGATCTGGGCTTTACTGAGAATCAACTGCTACCCCTAACAATGACCAATACCTTTTATCAAACACTTTAAACTATAGGTCTTTTACTGTATAAGGAACTTTAAATCCATTTTACAAATGAGGAGATCAAGGCTCTGAAAGTGAGGGACTAAGGTCACACGCTGGTGAGAATCTCCCTGCATGGCCCCCCCCCCCCCCCCCCCCCCCCCCCCCCCCCCCCCCCCCCCCCNTTGAGGGGAAGGAGTTTGCTTCCTGATTGGCAAAACTCAGGGGCAAAAAAACCATCGATTTTTACTGAAATCAAGATTTTACTGGGTAAGCTGATAGTGCCAAACTGTTTGGCACCGACAGCTCCACTCCCTACTGTAGGCCACGTGGGTTTGAGGCAGGGGGTGGACAGGCCCCTTAGACGGCTTTCTCTCTGCTCCCAATGCACGTTGGGCCGAGTGGGCAACTCAAGTGGTGTCTCCGTTGATGCAGGGAGATTTGAGGGGCAGGGGCTGGCTCTGGGACTCCGATGTCCTGGGAAGAAGCTGCAGGTTCTGGATGGTATCCTTCAGCTGGGCCTGAGTACTCTCTATCTCAGCCAGTCGGCACTCCTGGGGAGGCAGCGGCAGTGGATTCAGAGCGCGGGGGGTGGGGGTGGGGAGGTTTGCATCCCAACTCGTGTTCCCTCACCCAGCCTAAATCTGTGCCGGGGCTCGGCCATGGGTCTCACCAGACTTTTCAGCCTGTGGCCCTCATTGGTTGGAGGATCGCGCCCTGGATCCAACTTCGCAGTCCTGTAGGGATTACGGGTGAATGGAAAGAGTCAGAGGCCGAGGGACTCCCCTAGAGCTCCTAGTTGGAGTCAGGGACTCCCGCGCAGAGCTTGAGATGGAGGTGGGGTTTATCCAGCCTGGGGGTGGGGCCTAGATACGTTGGAAGAAGGGGCTGAACTAGAACCTGGACTGGCTGCGATTAAAGGACCAATCAACCAGTCCTGCGTGAGGTCGTGAGCAGGATAGGGGCGGGCCCAGCCTAAGAGATAGCGGGTCTGTCCCAACTTGTTTGGAAGGAGCTGACTGAGGGACTGCACGAGAGGACCTCCCAGAGACCTCGGGTGGATGGAGGTGACCAAGAAGCGGGTCTTGGATGTGTAGGGGCGGGTCTTACAGAGGGGGCGTGGCCGTGCCAGGCGTGATTTGGGTGGACTTACTGGGAGGCGGGGCCTGAGCCGATCTCTCTTTAGCAAGGCCGCCTGGGGCGGAGCTAATGGAGAGGGCGGGGCTTACCCTCTTTGGAGCCTGGAATCCAGGAGCTGAAGCTGGGTCCGAAGCTGCTCCTGCTGCTCGCTCAAGGACCGGATGTGGGTGCTGAGTGACTCCACGAGGCCGGACAGCGCCTTCAGATCCTGACGCAGGGCAGCCACCTCGCACTGAAGCTCCGCCAGCTGTGGGGAGGGAGCAACTGTAACCTGAGCCACTGTCCTGCCCCTTCTCCCCACGGACCCCGACTGACCTCCCTGTTCCCCTTAGCTCTGCCTCCTCACCGCCCTGCCTATAGGGTAATGAAGCTCAGATTGTACAGAAGAGGAAAACTGAGGCTCAGAGAGGGTTGGGTTAGGCCTGAATCACACAGCACAGCAAGCTCGGTGTTTGAACCGAGACCTGCCTATCTTTCAGTCTTTTTCCAATCCTGTCTCCCCACTCTAAGCGCGGACCTGAGCTGTACACCTCACCTTGCCCACGGGTCGGTGGGTGCCCAGCGCCTGGTCTTTGTCTCTTGGTTGGTCCATCTGGCGCTGCCAGGGCACCGACGGCTTCCGAGGCAGCGATGCTGAGGCTCCAGTCCAGGGCCGGCCGCGGGGCGCGGATCCCGCGTGGAGGGAGCCTTTGGGTCGCGGCCGCGGTCCGGCAGACGGGCGGCGGCGAGCGGGGCGGCCAGCCGGGACACTCTGCGTGCGCTGTACCGGCCGAGGCAGTCGCGGGGGCTGTTCCTCCTCCAGCCGCGGCCGGGCCCAACTACCTGCGCCGTGAACGCTGCGCAGGGACTGACTCTTGGAGATGAGAGGGGTGTGCTTGGGGAGGTCGCGGGGGGCCAGAAAGCCAGGCTTCTCCCCTGCAGAGATGCTGGGGGTGGGATGGGGAGCTCAGACGTTCCACCGGTTTCTGAGCTGACCCCAGCTCTACCTTCCACCAGAAATAACTCCATCCCTGATCTTTTACTTCTCTGCAAGCCCTGTGACTGAAGGGATCCCATTTTGACTTGTGATCCTGTCCTGGACTTCCGATAATACTGTTCCTTCTATGACTTCAATCTAACCTTTGATTCCTTTGTCCCAGAGCTCTGACACAGTGTTACCCTTGACTTGAGCCTCTGTGTAATCTCTACTTCCAATCTGCCGGAGCTTGTCTGCATGCTAAATCACTTCAGTCCTGCCTGACTCTTTGCAATCCTAAGGACTGTAGCCCACCAGGCTCCTTGTCCATGGGATTCTCCAGTCAAGAATACTGGAGTGGGTTCTCATGCCCTCCTTCAGAGAATCTTCCCAACCCAGGGGTCGAACCTGCATCTCTTACATCTCCTGAATTGGCAAGGATGTTCTTTACCACTAGCACCACCTGGAAAGCCCACGGGAGCTTGACCTCTGCTCAAAACTGTACCCTCTTCCTTCCTAATCTGACTCCCTCTTGTCCCCAACCTCTGACCTTCAACTGAACCTGTCTCTGCCTTCTGAAAAAACATGATCCCTGACTTCTGACCCCCAAAATGACTCTGCCCTTAAACTTTGACCCCATCTCCCTCTGGGCCTGACCTGAGATCTGCCCCTCATTGCTGAAAGTGACAATGTCACTTTCTCTCTCTGACCCTAGATGTGACCTCTGCAATGTCTAATCCCCACTTCAGATTCCAGTCTGACCTGATGCCCCCCTCTCTGATGGCACTGTTAGCCTCTCCCTGACCCCTGAGATGACCCTGTCACCAGCCTCTGACCTCCATCCTACAGTGTCTCTGATGATGAACATGACCCTGTCTCTGACCCCTGAGATGATCCTGCCTTCACCTCTGACCCCGTGCATGCCTTTGACCCTTCGCCTACTCCCACCCATCAGAACTGGATCAGGTCAGACTCAGGCAAGTAGTTACCTGGAATGGCCCTGGGTGCGGGGTGCTGGGAGACACATTGGCACAGTCACAGGTACAGGTCGGCCCTCTTCAATGGCATGCAGAATAGTGGGTAGCGGTTCCAGATTGTCCCGGGTGGCCTGGTAAAGCATGCAGGGAGGATGCTAGGCAAACTTTCCAGGACCAGAGACCCCTACTCTCTTGCCTCCCTACCTCATGTTCTGGGCTCTGTGCTCAAGCCACACCTGGTCAAGTTCAGCAAAGATGGTACAGAGCTGGGCATGCAGGACTGCCAGCTGGAGGGCCAGGTCACTGCTGCCCTGATAACCACTGGGTGCTGTGTCTGCATCCACCGTGGCCACTTGGTCCAGGAAATGTTGCATGGCAGGTCCATGATCCTCCAGAAAGGTATTCATGAAGCTCATGTAGGCTTCCTTCTCACCAAACCTGCATCAGAGCGCAAGTGGGTGGGTCAGGTCCAGCATCTGCCATCCCCACCACCCCAGTGTGGCTACTCAGCCTCCCAGCACCTACGGAGCACAGTTGGCAAGGTTCTGGATGACCTTGGCGATCAGTGTGAGGGTGCGGGCTGGGCCAGGTGCCGGGTGCTCTGGTGCTAGGCCGAAGAGGCTGGGTGACAGAATGGCAGGACACAGGAGCCGCAGGAAGAGAGAAGCACACACCAGTCGGGGCCCCAGTGCCTCAGAGCCACGTGCCTTGCATGCTTCTCGCCAGCCTGAGAACACAGTGCCCAGCTCGGCTGGGAACCAGCTGGGAGAGAAGAGGCCATAGTCAGAGGGGAAAAGTATGATCATGAGGTTCATGGATGATCGAAATCCTAAGGTCAGGGGTCACTCGACGCCTGCATGCTAAGTTCCAGGATAGACGACATTGGCAATAATGATTCTTGGGGTTATAGGTCCCCTTGGGGTCAGGGCTTGTTGGTGGTGTACTCGTTGTGGGGGCTTCTGGAGTCTGAAATCTTAGATTTGGGGGTATAGGTTCACAGGAGGACAGAAGCCATGAGCTTCATGTCCAGCTATAACTGGACATGAAACTGGGGTGCCAGACAGAGTACATAATATGAAGTAGTATAAGATTGGGTCACAGAGTCATCTAGATTCAGAAATCATGAGATTGATGTCCTAGGTGACATGGGATTAGGCACACAGGTTAACCTAGGGTCAGAGGTCAAGGCATTGGAAGCCTAGGAATTCCAGTTATATGAGATTTGGGATACAGGGTTGCTTAAGGTCAGGGATCATGGGATTGGGAGTATGGCATTACTGGAATCAGATATCATAGGATTGAGTGAAAGTGTTAGTTGCTGAGTCCTGTCTGACTCTGCAACCCCATGGACTGAAGCCTGCCAGGCTCCTCTGTCCATGGAAGTCTGGCAAGGATATTAGAGTGGGGTTGCAATTCCCTTCTCCAGGGGACCTTCCCAAACCAGGGATCAAACCCAGGTCTTCTGCATTGCAGGCGGATTCTTTACTATCTGAGCCACTAGGGAAGCCCCAATAGGATTGAGACCCTATGTTAACTGGGGTCAAGTGGCATGGAATTAGGGTATGGGGTCACCTGTAGTCTAAAAGACAAAGAATCGGGTCCCATGTTATTTGGGGTTAGGTAGCATGACATTGGGAATGATTTGCCAGATTTAGCCAATAAAACTTTAGGATAAACAGTTAAACTTGAATTTCAGATTTTAAAAAATGAATACTTTTTTTTTTAGTATAAAAAAGTATGTCACAAATATGGTATCTCATTGAACTGGGCATCCTATATTTTATCTGGAAACCTTAATTTGGAGTCAGAGCTAGCATCGTGACTGAGAGGCAATGGGGCCCTGACACTCACTTGTAGGAGTGGATGATGTTCTCAAAGACCTCCTTGCAGCTGTTTCGCAGTCTGCTCTGGTGCTGGGGCAGATCTGAGGCCGGGCATTTACTGGGGTCTACCTCACAGTCCTCGGTGGAGGCACAGAGACGCCGCACGACCTGTCCTGCAGTCCAGCACAACCAGAGAGGGCCTGGGCCATGACCACAACCCACAACACCCAGCCTCCAGCTCCATCTCCAAACTACCTCGGAGGCACCTAAAATCTTGGGGAACCTCCAGTTCGCCCCAGGATCCCAGCATCCCCAGGGCATCACCCACTACCAGAATCCAAGTTTACCCAAGGGTTCTCAGATTTCCCTTGGGTTGCCCTAGCAGGCTTAACTAAGCCTCTGACCCCTGCCCCACTCTGCTCACCCAGCGTCTCTTGGAGGTAATCCTGTGCCACCAGCTTCATGTACTCATCGATGGCCTTGGTGGCCAATGTGTTTTCCCGAAACAGCAGTGCCTCACGGCCTCCACTGCGTGCCAGCTCTGCGGTGCCCAGGTCCGTCACCAGGGCCTAGGCATAGTGGGGTTACACTGTGCTGGGCGCGGACTGAATCGTGAGAATCCCTGCTCTTGGCGGCTCCCTCACCCTTGGGGCACAGGCCCTGCTCCTCGCAGCTGCTGCCCAGGCCCAACCCTCGATGCTGGGGCTCTTAACAAAACGGGAACCTTCCCATCAAAGCAGAAACTTGGGGCTCACAATGCAGAAGCTCAATTCAGACCCCACCCCTCAAGCTGCCCCGCCCCTCGAAGGCACCACTCTGGTACTGGTCCCCGTCAACTACCCCCTTGGAGCAGGCGATCGGTCAGCCCCTGGTCACCCGGGTTCGTCCCGTGGCGGCGCCGCACCTGAGCCCGGCCGGTGGCCCGCAGCACGCGCACCATGGCAGCGGCCAGCTCTTCCTTGGCTTGAGCGGACAGCGCGAATTCGAGAGCCTCGCAGAGGCGCGCGTAGTGGAACGTGAGGAACTCTGCCAGCTCTTTGTAGCGCTCCGACGGCAGCACTCGCAAGCGCCGTGCCCGGATTCGTGCCCGCAGCGCCGCGCCGGCTGGCGCCCCGAGCAGCGGGAACCAGCGCTCCAGACCCGCGGCGGGCGCCCGGGGGACGCCCAGCTCTTCCAACGCCAACGCCACTCGGCCCAGCACCGTGTCCCCGGGGCCCGCTCCGCGTAGTCGCAGGGACAGGCGACGCGCTGGCGGCAGTGCCTCAAAGTGGAAGCGTTCTGCCCAGAAGAGCTGGCCCGGGCCGGCCCGCGGAGTCGTGCGCGCCAGCAGCGCCCCGTCCAGCCACAGCTCTGCGCGCACTCCTGGAGCCGCCGCCGCCGCCCGGGGCAGCCCCTTCACTTCGTGCACCCACACGCTCAGCCACGTCTCTTCCCGCTCCACGTTGTCCTGCGGACCAAAGCAGAGACAGGAGCGTGGCTTCGGTGCTCCACATTGCGCACCAGAGGTGAAGAGCAGGGCGCGTGCTCCCAGGGGTTCGCTGGGCCTCTGGGGGAAGACAACGGGACTACGGGGGTCCCACGATGGACCTCTAGCTTTTCTGGGCCCTCCCGGAGAGATCCAGGATCCAGGGCATGGAGGAGTAACCGCGGGGTGGAAACTTGGCGACTCCCTGGGGTGCAAATAGGGCTTGGGTTGAATACAGTCCGAGCTGTGCAAGGGGCTGGTAATTCATGAAATCGGCGGAGGATCTCGGAGAGGTTGCAAAAGTGTAAGAAGGCAGGTGTGTCCAAGGGGCAAAGTTTTGGTGCGAGTGGGATTTGGGTTGGGTGGAAGGGGCGGGGCCCGGGCTGTGGGCGGGGCCTCCAGGTCTGACCTTGCGCACTACCGACCTGACTAGGCTGGAAGTGGCGACGAAGGTCCTCGATCCAGCGGTCTCTCTCGGCAGCGGAGCGACAGGAGAAACAGCGACTCCCGCCCACCCATGTTACCTGTTGAGGAGGGGGAATCCAAGAGTGCGGTTGAGGCCAAGGATTGAGCCAAAGGGTCAAGCGAGGTAGAGAGTTGCCTTTACTTACCTGGAAGCAGTGCGGCTCCTCCAGCAGGCTGGGGTGCAGTGGCCAGACCCGCACGTCCCGCTCGGCTCCGAGGTCCAGCTCGGAAATCGTGGCCAGCGATTCCCGGGAGCCCAGAGCACTGGGGGGCCTGGCGAAGGCTCACGTGAGCAAGCTGTCATTCCTACTGACTCCCTTGACCCCCGCAACCTGCCCTCTACAGCCCAAAGGGTGGAAGGAAGCCAGAGGGAACCTGAACCTAAGTTGGACTTGAATCCATCCTTTAGACACTTAATTCCTCACTGTCTGTACTCCAGTCAGACTGGCCTTCTTTTTGTCACTTCATTCGTCCTCTTGACCTTTGCACTTGCTGTTCCTTCTGCCTGGAACGCCTTTCCTGTCCTTTTTGGCCTGATTAACATCCATCTAGCCTTCAGATCTCCCCGGAGGGAGGGAATGGCAAACCACTCCAGTATTCTTGCCAGGAAAATCCCACTGACAGAGGAACCTGGTGGGCTACAGTCCGTGGCATTGCAGAGTCAGACATGACGAAGCAAGCGCGCGCGCGCACACACACACACACACACACACACACACACACACATCCTTCACGTCTCAGATCAAGCGTCCCTTGCAGAGACACTCACTCCCAAACCAAGGTGTAGACTCAGCTGCTATTTTAGAGTTACTGTGTCACACTCTGTCCCCACCCTTCAATGGAGGGCTGACTCCATGCTAAAGGTTCTTCAGTGGCTCCAGCATTGCCCGACAAGGGGCAGGACACAGAGGCCCACAGGGTATATTTGGTGAAGACCAGAATTACAGGCAGGAGGAATGGGAGGGGCAGTGTTGAATCCCAGCCCCTCTAGCTCCTCAGAGACCCTTACCCATCTCGGGAAGCACTGGCTCCTAGCTCTGACTTGGCCTTTTTCTTCTCTTTCAACCGCTTCAGCAGCCCCTGTGGGGAGGGGGATGTCAGCTGGGCAGAACCCTGTGTTCCCTTCTCAGGTCCTTTCCTCACCCCACCCAGGATGTCATGGAAGATCTGTTGATCTTGGGGGAAATCACAAGCTCAGACTACATTTGCAGGAATATTAAAGGCAATCAACAGCTGCCATTTCTAAAGCATTAGCCATGGTGCTTTCCTGCATTCTCTATGGACTTTACATAAACAGCCCCAAGAAAGAGCTTCTCTCACCGGCTTCATTTGACAGATATGGACACTATGGCCCAGAGAGGGTCAGTGACCTGGTCAAGATGGCCCAGGAGGATTTCCCTAGTGGTTCAGTGGGTAAGAATCCATCTGCCATTGCAGGGGACATAGCTTCCATCTCTGGTATGGGAAGATTCCACATGCTGCAGAGCAGCTAAGCCTGAGCATTGTATCACTGAGGCCAGGCTCTAGAGCCCATAAGCTGCAACTACTGAGCCAAGTGGTGATTCCTAAAGCCCATGTGCCAAGAACCCATGCTCCACAACAAGGGAAACCACCATCATGAGAAGCCCTTGCCCCTCCAGAAGAGTAGCCCCTGCTCGCAGCAACTAGAGAAAGCCCATGAGCAGAAACAAAGACCCAGCATAGCCAAGAATAAAAATAAATTAAAAAATTAAAAAGTAAAAAAAAAAAAATCCCAGGAAATTAATGAAAAAGATCACCCAGGAAAAGTCCTCCCTTTCACCTCTGAGGGCCTGAAATCTTTCCTCTCCCCTCCACCCACCACTTACCCGAACATTGTGGACCTGGTGGGGGCCAGCAGACTCTGGCTCTGTCTTTCCAGGGATCCGATCTGTGGGTGGTCGGGGTGGAAGATTGGGGGGTGGGTGGAATCATCTTGGATTCTGCCCCACTTTCACAGGTTCCCAAATGCCCCAGCTCTCCCTGTCTCTCAAGCTTACCTGCATCCTTGAGTTTCTCCAAAGCCACTTGGATGTTGCTCTCGGAAATAGAGCTCCCCATCCTGGTCTGGCGAGGACCCTGTCCCCCAGCAGGAGTGGGTGGTCAGAAAGCAGAAGCAGACAGATAGAAGGAGAGGCAGACACCTTTCTGTTATACCCCTCATGCTTCCTTACTACTGTTCTCGCTCCCTTCCTTTCTTCCCCTTCCCTTGCCCGTGTGGCCCCTCTTACCTCCTCTTCATTCCCAAGCAGCACCAGCTTCCCATCAAGTAGTGTGAAGGCTTCGATGTTCCAGACGGGCACATCGGGGGTGGGAGCCTCTGGGATCTGTGCGGTCAGGGGCTCTAGCTCCGGCTCAGGCTCTGGGTAGAGGAGGAGGTGCTAGGGACCTGGGAGTCCTTTCTTCTCCCTCAGGACAACCTTTCCACTCACCAAGGCTCATCAAGCGTTCCCTCCTAAGTGCCTCCTCTTCCCAATCCACCCAGAAGTCATGTTAGGTGCTGGACAAGCCTCCACACCTCTCTGGGCCTTGTCTCCAGTAGCCATGGATAGTAATGGGTAGTGGATGCAGCCCCACAGACTATGTGCCCTGTACTGTACTTGCTACTCCGCATTCCTTCTCTCATTTAATCCTCCAAAAGCCATTCAAAGGGCTATTATAACCCCCATTTTGCCAAGGTTGCTGCCATTGCTGCTTAGTTGCTAAGTTGTGTCCAACTCTTTGTGACCCTGTGGACTGTAGCCCGCCAGGCTCCTCTGTCCATGAAATTCTCCAGGCAAGAATACTGCAGTGGGTTGCTGTGCCCTCCTCCAGGGGGTCTCCCTGACCAAGGGATTGAACTCAGGTCTCCTGCATTGCACGCAGATTCTTTACCACTGAGCTACCTAGGGAACCCCTTAACCACTGGACCACCAGGGAATTCCCTGCACTGGACCTTGAAGAGCAGATTTGAGTTGACAGAGATTGAGGAGATGGTAGCATGAACAGAGTGATCAGGGTTTTCCAGCTGGCTCAGTGATAAAGAACCTAACTGCCAATGCAGGAGATGCAAGAGATGTAGTTTCAATCCCTGGGTCGAGAAGATGCCCTGGAGTAGGAAATGGCAACCCGTGCCAGTATTCTTGCTGGAAAATTCCATGGACAGAGGAGCCTGGTGAGCTACAGTCCATGGGGTCACAGAGAGTCGGAGATGACTGAACAACTCATGCACACGTGCGCTCGTGCGCACACACACACACACACACACACACACACACAGCTTGAGCAAAGGTTGGCAGCTGGCACGTGGCCTGGTCCAGAGAAATAAAGGGAGGAGTGAGGAGGGCTTGGAGGGCTTAAAGGCTGAAGGGGAAAGTTCAGGAAGAGATTGGCAGAGCCTTGGGTGTCAGTTAGAGGAGATGGGGATTCCTCTTGAAGGTATTAAACAGGAGCCATGGGAGGTGTTTGACTAGGGGAAGACTAGGTGGGCTCATCAGAGAACTCTCACTGGATGCTATGGAGTGGGCAATATCTGATACCCTGGAGGGGACTGAAGGGATACCTCTGCAAAATGGGGATATGAAAAATGAGAATTAAATGACCTTTCAGAAATAGGAGGACTGAATCAACCATCCCAGAGGACCCGTCTGCCCTACTGTTTTACCACCAGGGGAATAAGCGATAACTCCACTGGCTAACAGATCACATAAAATGTGCTGAGTCCCAGGCATTCCGGAGCTCCGATCCTCATGGTATCCTTTACAATTCTAGATCTCTCTGTGTGACTCTTAGCCCCATCTGTCATCTCCTTATTTACTTGTTTACGGTCTGTCACACTCGCTGCACCATGAACTCCATGAGGCAGGCAGTTTCATCTGTTTTGTTCCTGCTGTGTCCTCAGGGTCTAAATTAGGGCAGGCCTAGAGCACAGCAAATGCTCACAGACCTCTGTTTGAATGATCGAATGAATGAATGATATACCCTTCAGGATAGGAGTCATGATTCCAGTTTAACTTGTGGAGAAACTGAAGCTCAAGGAAGAGGAGATACTAAGACACTGAGGCCGGAGGGCAGGAGAGTAGGAGACAGCAGAAATGGGTATCCAGGCAGGAGAGAAGACGCCGGGGCCACTGAATACGAGGAGAGACCTACCGGGGCCAAGAGCCATTTGGCATCTGGACAGTGCTGCCTCATCAGTTGGTTCCCTGCCCCTTCCCCTGGCTGGACACCCAGCTCACAGGTTCCTAGCCACTCCCACCATGCCCAGGCCCCTGGGGTGAGGGGGAAAGAGGGAAGAGGGCAGCCAGCCGGGCCCCCAGCCACTTCCTGTTGGGCTTTTGCACTCCCCACAACTTCCTGTGTCTGTAAGGCTGATGCTCCGGAGGCAGACAAAACCTCCCTGCATCCGGGCCTCCCAGCCTGGGTGGGGGGAGCCACGTACCTGGGTTTTCTGGCTCCAGTTCTGAATCCAGCGGTGGGCTCTTGTTTTTCCCCCAGAGGCTCTTGGATATTTTCAGGCGGCTCGTGCGTGACTCCTTGGCGGGTGCGGAGAGGACGCGACGAAACAGCGAGCGAGCGGCTGGCTGGCTGCTGGCCGTGGTCTCCTGGTGGCTCTGTGCCCTCCCCCATGCTGCAAGGCGGCCCCAGCGGAACCCTCCAGCCCCCTTCTCCCCACCACCCCCTGAGTGCCAGCGGTAGGAGGTTAGAGGGGATGGGGCTGCAGGCTGGGTTTGGGAGGCCCGGCTTGGTGAAGGTGGGTCCATGGCAGAGATTCTCCTGGGGGAATGAGAGGGTGATAATTCTGTCCGGTGTCTGCCCCCCCGGACAGAGTTGTGCTGTCTTCATATCCGCCCCCTCCTCACTCTCAGCTCTGCCCCCAGGGAACCCCCTTTCGGGGCAACACGCACTCCCTCTCTTACCTTGATTTCCTGACCAGCCTCAGGATCAGCAGCCGTCTGCACCCTGCCCGGCTTCCTCCGGCTGAACGCTACTCCACGTGACCCTGTCTGTCCCACCCCACCCCACAGCCAGGCTGGGAGGGCACAACAAGGGGCAGGATGCTAGCGGAGAGGAGGTGATAGAGCAGGACCCAGAATCTCTCAGTGACCAGGAGGCAGCCCATGCCCCTCTTTGAGCTTCAGTTGCCTTCTCTGCAAAATGGGTACATGTAGATCAAATGCTGGAACTCTCATTCACTGCTGGTCAGAACTCTCATCCACCGGCTCATCCAAGCTGGAAACCTGGTGTGATCTATGAGTATTGACCATATACCTCTTCTCTGACTCAGCAGTTCCACATATTGTGTGTATATGGTAGGTAAACACCCAATAGACGTGCCCACCAGCCCTATGCGTAGTGTGTGTGTGTGCTCAGCTGCTCAGTCATGTTCAACTCTTTGTTCTACTCTTTGCAACCCCGTGGACTATAGCCCACCAGTCTCCTCTGTCCATGGGATTTCCCAGGCAAGAATACTGGATCGAGTTGCCATTTCCTACCCCAGGGGATCTTCCCCATCTAGGGACCAAATCCAGGTCTCCTGTGTTGCCTGTATTGGCAGGTGAAGTCTTTACCACTGAGCCACCAGAGAAGCCCTTATAAAGACTGCATACTTGTGTGCTCAGTCGCTTCAGTTGTGTCCAATTCTGCGACGCTCTGTCCTTGGAATTCTCCAGGCAAGAATACTGGAGTGGGTTGCCATACCCTCCTGCAGGGGATCCTCCCCACCCAGGAATCAAACTCCTGCATTTGCTGCATTGGCAGGCAGATTCTTTACCACTGCACTACCTGATAGCCCCTAACTGATAACAGCCAACATGTGCTTATACCGTAGAATAGATAAATTGTAGTCTCTTCCCGTAGTGAAATATTATGTAATAATAAGAATAATCAAACTCGGATGAATCACAAGCAATGCTGAACAAAAAAATACAAACAATGAAGACTAAACACTATGTATTTCCATTTATATGAAGTTCCAAAGCAGGCAGAACATGTGTAACAAAGTCAGGAGACGGGTTTCCCTCTGGAGGGGCTGGAGACTGGGGAGGTGGGGGAGCACAAGGGAGCCTTTTGGGAGCTGATCATTTTTTTTTTTTAATGAAGTGAATTTCACGTAGTATAAATATAACCTCTTTTATTTCTTGAGCTGAGTGTTGGTTCCATGGGTGTGTTCATGGCTGTGAAAACTCGTTAACCACACATTTTGGTGCCCTTTCTTGCATCTCTGTTATACCACAATAAGTGTTCACTTGAAAAAAAAAAAACAACACGTGGCCAAATGCTGTTCTAAGGAATGAGTGAGTCAACGTGAGAATCAGTAGAATATTGGCCCACTGGTCCCAGAGTGAGTTTGAGTGCCAGCTGGTTCTTCTCTCACTGTGTGACCTCAGGCAAGTCACTTCCTCTCTCTGAGCCTTGGTTTCCTGATTTGTACAAGATGATAGCATCAGTTTCAAAAGATTTATAATGGGACACCTTGTTTCTTCAACCAATGTTCCCTTCATGCCTACTATGTGCTGGTACTAGAGAAGCAACAAGGAACAAGATGAACTTGATTCCTGCCTTCCTGGAGCTCACAGTACAGCAAGAGAGACAAGTCCTGAACATGAATGTAGGACATCTAGCTGGTGAGGAGGACTTAAAAGAAAATAGACAGACTAGAGGAGAGGCTGAGCACAAGAGACCCACTTTGAGCTGGAAAAACCCAGGAGGGCCTCCATGATGAGCTGGCATTTGTGACCTGAAGCATGAGAAAGAGCTGATCGTGGGAAGGGCATATCAGATAGAAGGAACAGCTTGTGCAAAGGCAAGGGTAACCAGCGTTTACGTGATGGGATGGGTAGAACTGCCCTCATTAGCATGTGGCCTGTGCAGTCACCCAGGGCCCCATGCTCAGGGCTCTACACTGAGCTTGATTTAATGCTCTGCTGTTGCTGGCTGGAAGTTCCTGCTTTTTAGACAAGGGGCCAGCATTTTCATTTTACACTGGGCCTCAAAACTTCTATAACCTGTCCTGAGGAAGAGGGTCTTCAGCGAGGATCAAAAATCCTTCTCCAGGGGCTGGACATGTTCATGCAGGTGCACACACCCTAGCTATGCCCACCTCATTCATACTGCACTCAGTCCGCTCACTGCACACACAGGTAGCTTCTCCCAGTGTTCTGCTGGATCTCTGAGCCTTCACCACTTAATTGTGTACTGGCCCCACTCCCTACATTTTTGCTGGAGGACTTTTCTCTGACAGATGGAGTCACATTGCCCATACAACTAGCAATCCCAAAGTGCCAGCACGTTAACATCTCCCTGGGAGCTCGGGGCTTTCCAGGTGGCTTGGTGGTAAAGAATCCACCTGCCAAGCAAGAGACATGAGAAGATCCCCTGGAGAAGGAAATGGCAACCCACCCCAGTATTCTTGCCTGGGAAATCCCAAGGACAGAGGAGCCAAGTGGGCTACAGTCCATGGGGTTGCAAAGAGTTGAATACAACTGAGTGATTAACAGAAAAAAAAAAAAAAAAGAAAATAACCAGGGGGATGCCCTCAGCCAATGACTATGGGAGTTGGAGGATTAGTACTCCAGGTCCCTTGCCCTGTAAGTGGGATATCTCTGAGGTATATGCCCTACACTGTTCCCCAGAGGTCCCCAGTGGGATGGAGCTCCACATGCCTCCCATACCAACATGACTTTGCTTCCCTGTGTCATTTCCTTATTCACCAGGTGATATGTCCTGGCATCACCACCCAGACAAACTACTTCCACTGGGATTCTTGTCCCAGGGTCTGCTTCTGGGCCACCCAAACTAAGATGGAACGTGCATACGCAGATGATGCTTGAACACAGGCTTTCTATTCATGGTGTCCTTTATTTTTTTAGTGTTTAAAAAAAATTATTTTATTTTCTGGCTGTGCTAGGCCTTTGTTGTTGTTGTTGTTGTGGGCCCCTGTTGTGCTTTCTCTAGTTTCAGCAAGTGGGGGCTGCTCTTCATTGCAGTGCTCAGGCTTCTCATTGCAGTGGCTTCTCTTGTGGAACACGGGGCTCTAGGTGTGCAAGGCTTCAATAGTTGCAGCACTCTGGCTCAGTAGTTGTGTTTGAGGGCTCTAGAGCTGGGGCTTAGTAGTTGTGGCCACAGGTTTGGTTGCTCCGCAGCATGTGGAATCTTCCCAGACCAGAGATCAAACCCATATCCCCTGCATTGGCAGGTCGATTCTCAACCACTGGACCACCAGGGAAGCCCCTCCCAGGTCTCTTTATTGGAGGTCAGTGGATAGCAGTATCATTGGAGGTGGTCTTCTCTTGGATCTGCTGGAGGCCCTCCTGGCAGTTCTTGATTTCACATTCTGAAAAAGACAAGAGAGTTTAGGTTGGGGGTGGGGGTGATAATGGAGCTGGGTCTGCCATCTTCATGGTTGCACCATTGATGGGTAAGAGGACAGGGGCCCAAAGTGAGGAGGTGGGTACAACCCCAACTGCAGGCCAGCTTATGGAAATGGAGTGGTAGTTTGAAAGTGGAGCTTGATTGTACAGGGGTGGTTATAGAGGTGTTTCTGTCATTATGGTTGGTGGTGTGGTGCCATCATCAAGCTGAGAATGTGCTGACTAGGCCAGCATAAGAGTTGGCTCCAGATTGCTTCAGCATAAAAGTTGTAATCAAGGGTTAGGGAGCTGAACAAGCATCCTTGGGACTGAGATGGTCTGGGCAGAGGATTGCAACAACTCGGTTAGGGGCTGGGCAGAAGCTGTGTGGGCTTCCCAGTTGGTGCTAGTGGCAAAGAACACACCTACCAATGCAGGAGACATGAGAGACTTGGGTTCCATCCCTGGGTTGGGAAGATCCCCTGGAGGAGGGCATGGCAACCCATTCCACTATTCTCGCCTGGAGAATCCCATGGACAGAGGAACCTGGCGGGCTATAGTCACAGGATTGCAAAGAGTCTGACATGACTGAAGTGACTTAGCACACAGCACAGAAGCTGTCCTATGCAAAGAGGTTTTCTGTAGTGGGTCACAGGCTTGATCACTGTTGTGTGGACAGAGAGCCGTTGGGTTGTGAGCAAAGGTGAGGGCAAGGTTGGGTGGCTGGGATAAGGTTGTGAAATGCAGAGGGGCAGGGGCAGTAGGCTATTTTGCAAGCAGAATGACTGAAGCCTGGGTCTAGATTGCCTGAAGAGATTGCTAGGGAGTGCAGGGGTCTTGGCTGAGGTTGTGGGCACAGGGTTACAGGAAGGAGTGAGAGGGGCCTGCTGGGGTTAGGCAAGCAGGCAGGGATCAGGGCACGCGCTGAGCTTGTGTGCACTGAGGGGTCTCAGGCCGAGATAGTGCGGGCGTCGGGGGACTCACCTTGTCGAAATGCGGCCAGGTGCGCAGCAGGTTGAAGAGCCGGTCGCCGGGGCATTCAGTGCGCACGAGCTGGCGGTGGCCTAGCAGCGCATAGTCTGGCCGCAGGAGGCCCGCGCGTACAGCGCAGCGCGGGAGCTCGTCTCGCACCGCGCGCAGCGCGGCCTCTGAGGGCAGCACCGCGGTGTAGTTGCCGATCAAGGCCACGCCGAAGCCGCGGGAGTTGTGGCCGAGTGTGTGCGCACCCACCCAGTGCCATCCGCGGCCCTCGTACACGTAGCCGTCTGAGCCCACCACGAAACTGCGGAGGAGAGAGGGAAGCAGGAGCCAGACGGCGTGAGGCCTCCCTCCGCATCTGGCCCTCTACCCCGGTTTCCGCACCCGTGCCAAGGGCCACCGTCAGCCCAAGTTCCCCCCGGTCACGCAGACTCCACCTCGTCCAGCCTTGTCCCACTCTCCCTCCAAATGCCACCCCAGAAATAGTCCCGTTTCTCTGAATCTGTCCTCAACATTAACCCGGTCTCTTTCTACCCAGCTCCCTCCCCATTATTTCAAGTCTAACTCCTCCGCAATTCTGACCCTTTTCTGGCTGAGATCATATTCATCATTGCTCTGTCCCAGACTTAGCCGCTACCACATGTCCTGTTCTTCTCCCAAGTCTGGACTCCTCTCCTAGTTCCCACCTCAGACTCAAGAGTCCCACGTTGAGCTCTTTCT